GTTAAATACCATGCTTTTAGAGGCACAAAGATCTGTAACTTTGTACTACAAAATCTGGAAGAAAGTGACTCCGGAGTGCATTACTGTGCCAGCTCGACTGGCACAGTGATTCCAACCTGCTTTGTACTGCACGCAAAAAATTGCTTATGGTTTCTCCTAGTACTCAAGATAGGCCAGTCCCTACCTCACTTCCTGCTCTCAACTCCACTATAGTCTAAACAAAGAGAAGCTCTTTATCTTTTAGGTAAAGAGCCCAACAGCTAACCCCAGAGCTTCCATCTCACACCCTCTCAATGGCCTCACCGTGCCCCGGGACCCCACCTCTGAACCATCCACCCCAGGACTTTCCTAAAATAAAATCCCATATCCAGGCCTTAACCCAGCATTCTGACAGAATACAGGGCTCATTCTGCTCTCCTAGGGGCTGGCACAGCAGCATTCAATCTGGTTTCTAGGATAGACAAAGTCACCTAGGATTGGTCTGCTATGAGAGACAACTGAGAGCATTATGTGTTTTATATATATATATATATACACACACACACACAGACACACACACACACACACACACATATATATATATATATATATATATGTAATCTATCTATCTAATCTCATTTGACCTCCAATGAAACCCTACTGAGGATTCAAAGTATCACTGAATTTAACAGATAATAAAATAAGGCAAGGAGGGGACTAGCTGACTCTTCTAAGGTCATGGAGCAAGAAGTGGCAGAGATTTCAATCCCTGCACTCTGGTTCAAAAAACGAGATCTGCCAGTTGCATTTGCATCCCATGGTCTCTAATGACAGTTAGGGTGATTTCACAAGTTTACACTTCCTCTTTTATCAGCTGCCTTAGGATGCTCCTTGCCCATTCCTTTGGAGCATTAACTTTCCTTATTGGTTCAGAAGACTCTTAAACTTCATGTGTTGAAAAGCCTTCTCCTCTCTTAGTATTTAGTTATTTTCATCACACTTCAGTGAAAAGAGATTTGAATCTGACTTTTAAAACACACTTCTGAAAGTATCTTAAAGCATATCTTAAAAAAAAAAAAACAACTACACAATTTTCCAGAGGCTTCTGCTGTCATGGCCAGGCACAGAGACAGCCTATCTCACTCACAATTTACATGTCATTCATCAACACCAGGTGTACCACCTGCAACAGGCTGAAACAATGACTGAAGTAGAACATTCTTCTATGTTTTACTATGAGTCTTTCTTTTCTTTTTTAAAGATTTACTCATTTATTTGAGAGGTAGAGGCAGAGGCAGAGAGATGGGGGGAGGGTGGGATGGAGAAAGAGAGGCTTCACTCTGCAAATGGCTTCAAATGCCAGGGCTGGGCCAGGAACCAGGAGCTTCATCTGGTCTCTCACATGGGTGCAGGGGCCCAAGCACTGGAGACATCTTCTATTCACTGCATTTCTAGGCACACTCGTAGGGAACTGGATTGGAAGTAGAGCAGCTAGGACTTGAGCTGGTGCCCATATCAGATGCTGACACTGTGACACTGCGGGTAGCAGCTTAACCCACTGCACCACAGTGCTGACTCTACTAGGAGTCTTTCTAACACACATCCAAATGCATTCATAAACGTGGTGGTGAAAATCTGGAGATGGGCCATTTAAATACTACCAGCATTTTACTCTACTTGTTACGTCACCCATCCTTCCACCCATCATCCCCAAATCAACTGCAGACATCAGTACACATTCTGAATGTAGGTTTGCCAAATAAAATGTAGGTAAATTTGAATTCTTGATCAATAACAAAGATTTTAATTTTTTTAGTATATCCCAAATATTGCATGACACAGCACTGTATACTTTTTCTTGGATAGTATAGTATCCTAAATCTTGCAGCCCAACCATGGGTGCCTTTTAACAGTACTTGAGAATGATCAGAAATCTTCTAACAAATCAACTTGAGTGCAAACACACACACACACACACACGCACAGGCATGCACACAAGGGCATTTACCTTTGAGGGGCGTCAGACGTAGTCAACATAATGGGTCTCAACTTATTTTAATAAGGTAGATCACAGCTTCTCAGATGTGCTGTTGAAGATGTCCCTGGTCTACCTACAGAGGTCCATGGAGGTGAGTCAGAGCAATAGGAAAGACGTTCCATCTCAGGACAAGGTCATGGCAGCCGCATTCACACAATGACACTGCCAGTTGCAGGGAAGGGAGCCTGCTGTGGGACTGCACACTGCAGAGTGGAACAGGCAAGCATCACCAAGGGTTCTGCTTCCAACTGCATTTGCACCAAAGCGCTACAGACTGAGCACTCAGTGCTCCTCACAGCGCTACCTCAGGGCAGGACTTTCTCTCGGCTTCCACAGGAGGGCGCGCAAGGCACTCAAAGGCGGAAGTAGAGACCAGGCTTCTCCTGTCAGCACTCACCTCTTCTGGGTAAAGAGCTTGGGAGTCTTCTAAGAGAGACCCTGCCTGTTACTTCTCCCTGCTGTGACTTCAGTCGGGAAGACTCCCTCCAACTCACCTCCCTGGGTCCCTCTTTTTTGAGTAGGATTAGAGTTAAGAGGATATTCTTCTTCCCTTATCACCTCATCCCTTCCCTTCTAAGGCCTGAGAGAAGAAGGCATGCTGTGGACACTCTCCCTACTTGTAGCTTTCCTGCCTCCTGGTAAGTAGGTTGCATAGATGTTAATGCGAGTTCTCTCTCTCTCTCTCTCTCTCCATGGAGGTCATACTAAAGAATTATCATTTTCTCATTGTTTCTCATTGTTTTTGTGGTTGCCATTGCAGGCAGTCAAACATCTTCCAACTCAGAGAAGACTATGACAGTGGTCACCAAGCCGACTGGGTCATCTGCTACAGTCACTTGTAGTATTACTCAACAAAGTAGCTATATCCACTGGTACCGGTACCAGGAGGGGAAGGCCCCACAGCGCCTTCTCTACTACGTCGTCAGCAGTTCCCGTTCTATAGTGGACTCGGGATTTGATACAGAGAAATACCAAGCTTATAAAAGCACACAGGGGAGCTATAATGTCTTTCTACGAAACCTGGGAAGAGACGACTCTGGGGTGTATTACTGTGCTGTCTGGACTGGCACAGTGATTCCGACCTGCCTTATACTACACTGAAAATTGTGCCTGTGGTTATTCCTGGTACTCGAGATAGGCCAGCCCCATCTCATTTCCTGTTTCTGACTCTGCGCTGAGCAAAGAGAAACTCGGAGCCCAACACCAAACCCCAGAGCTCACATCCCACCACCTTCTCAATGCCTTCACACTGCCTCCAGGCCCCCAGCCCTGCACCTCCACCCCAGCCCTTTCCTAAAGACTGAACTCCCATCTCCAGGCCTTTGCCCAGTGGTCTAGCACTCAGCTGAGTTCCTTCTACTCTCCTAGGGGTTGGAAGAATAGCATTTAACTAGTTTCTGAGACAGGCAAGGTCACCTAAGGTCTTATGGAACATCTTTAGGAGAGAATTATGGGAAGGCTGGTGGTTGGCACATATTCTCACTTCTAAGCTTCTAAAATAATGAAATATTTCAATCATACTGAAGGTTAGAGTGAATAAGAAAACAAATCTTGAGGTGCCTATTACTTAGTTTAGTTACATCTTCACATTTTAACACATTTGCTTCATATTTTCATAATGGTTTCATGAACTAATTCATAATTCATATGAACTAATTCAGCTGAAGATTCTGGGTTTATTTTCCCAAGCCCATCCTTCCCTTTCCCCTCCCAAGGGTAACCACCAACCAGGTCCCACTCATGCTGCAAAGGCATGTATTCACAAATAATGAACAACTTCCATCATGCCTCAAGACATAAAATAGGATGTATATTTCAATCCATCACATGTTTTCTGTACTTCACAGTACACTTCTGAATAGTTACTCCTGCTAGTGGACAGTGAGAGAGAGAGACAGAGAGAAAGGTCTTCCTTTGCCGTTGGTTCACCCTCCAATGGCCGCCGCAGCCGGCGTGCTGTGGCCAGCGCACCGCACTGATCTGATGGCAGGAGCCAGGAGTCAGGTGCTTTTCCTGGTCTCCCATGGGGTGCAGGGCCCAAGCACCTGGGCCATCCTCCACTGCACTCCCTGGCCACAGCAGAGAGCTGGCCTGGAAGAGGGGCAACCGGGACAGAATCCGGCGCCCCGACCGGGGCTAGAACCCGGTGTGCTGGCGCCGCTAGGCGGAGGATTAGCCTAGTGAGCCGCGGCGCCGGCCCCACAGTACACTTTTGAATAGTTACTCCTGCTAGTATGCATGCCTTGAATTACTCATTGGCATTCTGTACTGTGAATGTGTCACATTTTATTAATTCAAAATCTTATAATTTGAGGGTTGACTTGGTAAAGCTTCAAATAGTTGTGCTTGAATTTTCAGTTGATGTAAAGAGTGCTGTCATGTTTATGTTTTTAAGCTTTGTATCTGCAGTAGCTAGGAATGTTTGGCTTCAAATGGCCAAGTAAGGCAGGGTGTCTTACAGGCCTGGGAGTTGATGGCATCCAGAACTTGAAAGCATCAGAACCGCCCTGTCCATTTCTTCATCTCTTATCTCAGCTTTTGCCCATGTGACATCCTCATTTTCAGGTGTCAAGAACCATGCCAGTGGTCCCTCTAGAGACCCATCCTTACAGATGTCATCCAAGCAAGCTGAGTCGCTTTCCTTTCAACTCCAGTTTGGATACATTGAACGGGAATCAACTTAGGCACAACTTGAGACCTAGATGGGTGTGAGGCAGATGACTGGTAGTGCCTAACTCTTTTCTACACATACGAGAGGACTTCAGAACATCCATGGAAAGATGGAATTAAGAGATAAATTTATTCTGTTGTCATGGATTTTTAAACACATGTATAATGTTGCCATAATACTCAAATTTCAGAAACTTTTTAAAGATGTCCTCATTGGAAATTTATTTGCTTTTATGTTAAGTATCACATTTTTGGCACTCATTCTCAGGTAGCTACTGTGCTAAGCACGTTACATATATGATCTCATTTGATCTTCCCAGAAACCCTACTGAGGGTTCAAAGTATCACTGAAATACAGATAAGAAACTAGGGCAAAGGGGGCAAGCCGACTTCTCTATGGTTATGCTGCTTGAAGTGGCAGATATTTCAATCCCTGCCATGCAGTTTTAAAAAAAAAAAAATGGAGTTCTGTTAATTGTTTGCATCTTGCTGTCTCTAATGAGAGTCAGCCTTATTTCACAAGCTCATTTCTCCTGTGTCAGTTGCCTTGTTATGCTCCTTGTTCTTTGCTCTTATGGAGCATTTAGTGTTCCTTTTGGTTTGGAAGAGGCTTGAAGACCACGGTGGAGACGTTAGCTTCTAGCGAATATACTGAAAAGGCTTCCCCTACTTACTTCTTAGTTATTTTAGCACACATTGATGAAAAGAAATTTGAATCTTAGTTCTTAAAGTTCTTTTAAAAAACAACTACAAAATTTTCACTAAGGTTTCTTGTTGTGTTGCCAGACACGGATAAGGTCTATTTCACCCACAAATTATATGCCATTTGTCTACATATATTCTAAGGGTTTTCTGATTTCAGATTCATTACATTTAAACTTCTGTTTGTAAGTTATAAGGTAGCCGTTTCACAGTACTTGGTTCTATATGGTGAACCAATTCCCAAAGCAGAATGTGTGGCATAATGAATTATTCCTTGCTGGTCTGAATGTACAACTTCATCCTACATTAAGATATTGCATATCGGTGGATTTCTGTCCCGTGAATCTTTATATTCTAGTGCCAAGTGCTGCACTCCTTTTGTTGCACTAGCTTTATAGTTCCTCTACATTCTGGCAGGCTTAGTTTATAACTCTTCTGTTTTAAGAATTTTATTTCCACTGCAGTGAAATGGGAATTTTGTGCTTTCTCATATTTAAACATGAGCATGAAGTTCCGGTAAGGAACTCCCAGTCTCCAAGGCACTGGAGTTTACCCTCTGCTTGGGGCCCAGGGCATTCGGCTCTCAGAGCCATTTACACAGCAGCTTCCAATCCTTCCCCTGGGGATTCCGCAGGGCAAAGGGAGACCCACACAGGCCCCTACTTACTCACTGATGAGCTCGCTCATGCTAGCAGCAATCTATTACCTGAGAGATGCTGAAACAGTGACAGGAGTGGAACTGCAATGTTGTTGTAGTTTTACTGAGTCTCTCTAACACACAACCAAATACATCCATAAATGTGGTGCTGGAAATCTGCACAGGTGTCACTTAAATGCCACCAGCATTGTAGCCAACAGGCTTGATGATAATTCTTTGGAGAAGGTAGATGCAAAGCTTCTCAGATGGGCTGCTGGAGGTCTCCAGAGTTCACTACAGAGCTGGGGAAGGTGGGTCAGGGCAGCAGGAAGGAAGCTGCATCGCGGGACAAGGCCCTGGCAGCATCATCCCCACTCTGGGACTGAGACCTGCAGAGAAGTGAGCCTGACCTGGGATGCTGGCCCGGGGAGCTGGCAGTCTTCACCAAGGGGCCTGCTATCCACCCTGTTTGCCCTCAACCTGCCTCAGATTGGGGTCTCTGTGGTCCTCACACACCTGCCTCTGGGGAGGGCCTGCTCTCAGCCTGCCTCCACAGGAGGGTGAAGAGAAGGGGGTGGAAGCAGAGGCGGGGCTACCTCCCTCTGCACTCACCCTTCTGGGCAGAGGCGTGGCTACCTTCTAAGGTAGGCCCTGCCCTGCCAGGAAGACCAGCTGCACTCCCTCGCCTGGGGCCCCTCCCTTTTTGCGTAGGATTAGAGTTTTGACAGGGCATTCTGCTCCCCTTATCACCAGATCCCTTCCCTTCTGAGACCAGGAGAACAAGGCATGCTGTGGACTGTAGCCCTGCTTGTAGCTGTCCTGTCTCCTGGTAAGCAGGTTGCATAGATGCTAATGGGACAGATTTCTCTCTCTCTCTCTCTCTCTCTCTCTCTCTCTCTTTTATATGGGAGTTCATTCTAAAGAATTGCCAGTACCTGTTTCTCATTGTTCATTATTTTTACCATCGCAGGCAGTCAAACATCTTCCAACTCAGAGAAGACCATGACAGTGGTCACCAAGCCAACTGGGTCGTCTGTTACAGTCACTTGTAGTATTCCTCAACAAAGTGGCTACATCCACTGGTACCGGTTCCAGGAGGGGAAGGCCCCACAGCGCCTTCTCTACTATGACTTCTCCATTTCCAGTTCTATAGTGGATTCAGGATTCAGTCCAGTTAAATACCATGCTTTTAGAGGCACAAAGATCTGTAACTTTGTACTACAAAATCTGGAAGAAAGTGACTCCGGAGTGTATTACTGTGCCAGCGCGACTGGCACAGTGATTCCAACCTGCTTTGTACTCCACGCAAAAAATTGCTTATGGTTTCTCCTAGTACTCAAGATAGGCCAGTCCCTACCTCACTTCCGGCTCTCAACTCCACCATAGTCTAAACAAAGAGAAGCTCTTTATCTTTTAGGTAAAGAGCCCAACAGCTAACCCCAGAGCTTCCATCTCACACCCTCTCAATGGCCTCACCGTGCCCCGGGACCCCACCTCTGAACCATCCACCCCAGGACTTTCCTAAAATAAAATCCCATATCCAGGCCTTAACCCAGCATTCTGACAGAATACAGGGCTCATTCTGCTCTCCTAGGGGCTGGCACAGCAGCATTCAATCTGGTTTCTAGGATAGACAAAGTCACCTAGGATTGGTCTGCTATGAGAGACAACTGAGAGCATTATGTGTTTTATATATATATATATATACACACACATACACACACATACACACACACATATACACACACACACAAACCCTACTGAGGATTCAAAGTATCACTGAATTTAACAGATAATAAAATAAGGCAAGGAGGGGGCTAGCTGACTCTTCTAAGGTCATGGAGCAAGAAGTGGCAGAGATTTCAATCCCTGCACTCCGGTTCAAAAAACGAGATCTGCCAGTTGCATTTGCATCCCATGGTCTCTAATGACAGTTAGGGTGATTTCACAAGTTTACACTTCCTCTTTTATCAGCTGCCTTAGGATGCTCCTTGCCCATTCCTTTGGAGCATTAACTTTTCTTATTGGTTCAGAAGACTCTTAAACTTCATGTGTTGAAAAGCCTTCTCCTCTCTTAGTATTTAGTTATTTTCATCGCACTTCAGTGAAAAGAGATTTGAATCTGACTTTTAAAACACACTTCTGAAAGTATCTTAAAGCATATCTTAAAAAAAAAAAAAACAACTACACAATTTTCCAGAGGCTTCTGCTGTCATGGCCAGGCACAGAGACAGCCTATCTCACTCACAATTTACATGTCATTCATCAACACCAGGTGTACCACCTGCAACAGGCTGAAACAATGACTGAAGTAGAACATTGTTCTATGTTTTACTATGAGTCTTTCTTTTCTTTTTTAAAGATTTACTCATTTATTTGAGAGGTAGAGGCAGAGGCAGACAGATGGGGGGAGGGTGGGATGGAGAAAGAGAGGCTTCACTCTGCAAATGGCTTCAAATGCCAGGGCTGGGCCAGGAACCAGGAGCTTCATCTGGTCTCTCACATGGGTGCAGGGGCCCAAGCACTGGAGACATCTTCTATTCACTGCATTTCTAGGCACACTCGTAGGGAACTGGATTGGAAGTAGAGCAGCTAGGACTTGAGCTGGTGCCCATATCAGATGCTGACACTGTGACACTGCGGGTAGCAGCTTAACCCACTGCACCACAGTGCTGACTCTACTATGAGTCTTTCTAACACACATCCAAATGCATTCATAAACGTGGTGGTGAAAATCTGGAGATGGGCCATTTAAATACTACCAGCATTTTACTCTACTTGTTACGTCACCCATCCTTCCACCCATCATCCCCAAATCAACTGCAGACATCAGTACACATTCTGAATGTAGGTTTGCCAAATAAAATGTAGGTAAATTTGAATTCTTGATCAATAACAAATATTTTATTTTTTTAGTATATCCCAAATATTGCATGACAGAGCACTGTATACTTTTTCTTGGATAGTATCCTAAATCTTGCAGCCCAACCATGGGTGCCTTTTAACAGTACTTGAGAATGATCAGAAATCTTCTAACAAATCAACTTGAGTGCAAACACACACACACACACACACACACACACGCACAGGCATGCACACAAGGGCATTTACCTTTGAGGGGCGTCAGACGTAGTCAACATAATGGGTCTCAACTTATTTTAATAAGGTAGATCACAGCTTCTCAGATGTGCTGTTGAAGATGTCCCTGGTCTACCTACAGAGGTCCATGGAGGTGAGTCAGAGCAATAGGAAAGACGTTCCATCTCAGGACAAGGTCATGGCAGCCGCATTCACACAATGACACTGCCAGTTGCAGGGAAGGGAGCCTGCTGTGGGACTGCACACTGCAGAGTGGAACAGGCAAGCATCACCAAGGGTTCTGCTTCCAACTGCATTTGCACCAAAGCGCTACAGACTGAGCACTCAGTGCTCCTCACAGCGCTACCTCAGGGCAGGACTTTCTCTCGGCTTCCACAGGAGGGCGCTCAAGGCACTCAAAGGCGGAAGTAGAGACCAGGCTTCTCCTGTCAGCACTCACCTCTTCTGGGTAAAGAGCTTGGGAGTCTTCTAAGAGAGACCCTGCCTGTTACTTCTCCCTGCTGTGACTTCAGTCGGGAAGACTCCCTCCAACTCACCTCCCTCGGTCCCTCTTTTTTGAGTAGGATTAGAGTTAAGAGGATATTCTTCTTCCCTTATCACCTCATCCCTTCCCTTCTAAGGCCTGAGAGAAGAAGGCATGCTGTGGACACTCTCCCTACTTGTAGCTTTCCTGCCTCCTGGTAAGTAGGTTGCATAGATGTTAATGCGAGTTCTCTCTCTCTCTCTCTCTCTCTCTCTCCATGGAGGTCATACTAAAGAATTATCATTTTCTCATTGTTTTTGTGGTTGCCATTGCAGGCAGTCAAACATCTTCCAACTCAGAGAAGACCATGACAGTGGTCACCAAGCCGACTGGGTCATCTGCTACAGTCACTTGTAGTATTACTCAACAAAGTAACTACATCCACTGGTACCGGTTCCAGGAGGGGAAGGCCCCACAGCGCATTCTCTACTACGTCGTCAGCAGTTCCAGTTCTACAGTGGATTCGGGATTTGATGCAGGGAAATACCAAGCTTCTAAAAGCACACAGGGCAGCTATAATGTCGTTCTACGAAACCTGGGAAGAGACGACTCTGGGGTGTATTACTGTGCTGTCTGGACTGGCACAGTGATTCCGACCTGCCCTATACTACACTGAAAATTGTGCCTGTGGTTATTCCTGGTACTCGAGATAGGCCAGCCGCATCTCATTTCCTGTTTCTGACTCTGCGCTGAGCAAAGATAAACTCGGAGCCCAACACCAAACCCCAGAGCTCACATCCCACCACCTTCTCAATGCCTTCACACTGCCTCCAGACCCCCGCCCTGCACCTCCACCCCGGCCCTTTCCTAAAGACTGAACTTCCATCTCCAGGCCTTTGCCCAGTGGTCTAGCACTCAGCTGAGTTCCTTCTACTCTCCTAGGGGTTGGAAGAATAGCATTTAACTAGTTTCTGAGACAGGCAAGGTCACCTAAGGTCTTATGGAACATCTTTAGGAGAGAATTATGGGAAGGCTGGTGGTTGGCACATATTCTCACTTCTAAGCTTCTAAAATAATGAAATATTTCAATCATACTGAAGGTTAGAGTGAATAAGAAAACAAATCTTGAGGTGCCTATTACTTAGTTTAGTTAAATCTTCACATTTTAACACATTTGCTTCATATTTTCATAATGGTTTCATGAACTAATTCATAATTCATATGAACTAATTCAGCTGAAGACTCTGGGTTTATTTTCCCAAGCCCATCCTTCCCTTTCCCCTCCCAAGGGTAACCACCAACCAGGTCTCACTCATGCTGCAAAGGCATGTATTCACAAATAATGAACAACTTCCATCATGCCTCAAGACATAAAATAGGATGTATATTTCAATCCATCACATGTTTTCTGTACTTCACAGTACACTTCTGAATAGTTACTCCTGCTAGTATGCATGCCTTGAATTACTCATTGGCATTCTGTACTGTGAATGTATCACATTTTATTAATTCAAAATCTTATTATCAAAGAGAACTTGAGGGTTGACTTGGTAAAGCTTCAAATAGTTGTGCTTGAATTTTCAGTTGATGTAAAGAGTGCTGTCATGTTTATGTTTTTAAGCTTTGTATCTGCAGTAGCTAGGAATGTTTGGCTTCAAATGGCCAAGTAAGGCAGGGTGTCTTACAGGCCTGGGAGTTGATGGCATCCAGAACTTGAAAGCATCAGAACCGGCTTGTCCATTTCTTCATCTATTATCTCAGCTTTTGCCCATGTGACATCCTCATTTGCAGGTGTTAAGAACCATGCCAGTGGTCCCTCTAGAGACCCATCCTTACAGATGTCATCCAAGCAAGCTGAGTCGCTTTCCTTTCAACTCCAGTTTGGATACATTGAACGGGAATCAACTTAGGCACAACTTGAGACCTAGATGGGTGTGAGGCAGATGACTGGTAGTGCCTACCTCTTTTCTGCACATACGAGAGGACTTCAGAACATCCATGGAAAAATGGAATTAAGAGATAAATTTATTTTGTTATCATGGATTTTTAAACACATGTATAATTTTGCCATAATACTCAAATTTCATAAACTTTTTAAAGATGTCCTCATTGGAAATTTATTTGCTTTTATGTTAAGTATCACATTTTTGGCACTCATTCTCAGGTAGCTACTGTGCTAAGCACGTTACATATATGATCTCATTTGATCTTCCCAGAAACCCTACTGAGGGTTCAAAGTATCACTGAAATACAGATAAGAAACTAGGGCAAAGGGGGCAAGCCGACTTCTCTATGGTTATGCTGCTTGAAGTGGCAGATATTTCAATCCCTGCCATGCAGTTTAAAAAAAAAATGGAGTTCTGTTAATTGTTTGCATCTTGCTGTCTCTAATGAGAGTCAGCCTTATTTCACAAGCTCATTTCTCCTGTGTCAGTTGCCTTGTTATGCTCCTTGTTCTTTGCTCTTATGGAGCATTTAGTGTTCCTTTTGGTTTGGAAGAGGCTTGAAGACCACGGTGGAGACGTTAGCTTCTAGCGAATATACTGAAAAGGCTTCCCCTACTTACTTCTTAGTTATTTTAGCACACATTGATGAAAAGAAATTTGAATCTTAGTTCTTAAAGTTCTTTTAAAAAACAACTACAAAATTTTCACTAAGGTTTCTTGTTGTGTTGCCAGACACGGATAAGGTCTATTTCACCCACAAATTATATGCCATTTGTCTACATATATTCTAAGGGTTTTCTGATTTCAGATTCATTACATTTAAACTTCTGTTTGTAAGTTATAAGGTAGCCGTTTCACAGTACTTGGTTCTATATGGTGAACCAATTCCCAAAGCAGAATGTGTGGCATAATGAATTATTCCTTGCTGGTCTGAATGTACAACTTCATCCTACATTAAGATATTGCATATCGGTGGATTTCTGTCCCGTGAATCTTTATATTCTAGTGCCAAGTGCTGCACTCCTTTTGTTGCACTAGCTTTATAGTTCCTCTACATTCTGGCAGGCTTAGTTTATAACTCTTCTGTTTTAAGAATTTTATTTCCACTGCAGTGAAATGGGAATTTTGTGCTTTCTCATATTTAAACATGAGCATGAAGTTCCGGTAAGGAACTCCCAGTCTCCAAGGCACTGGAGTTTGCCCTCTGCTTGGGGCCCAGGGCATTCGGCTCTCAGAGCCATTTACACAGCAGCTTCCAATCCTTCCCCTGGGGATTCCGCAGGGCAAAGGGAGACCCACACAGGCCCCTACTTACTCACTGATGAGCTCGCTCATGCTAGCAGCAATCTATTACCTGAGAGATGCTGAAACAGTGACAGGAGTGGAACTGCAATGTTGTTGTAGTTTTACTGAGTCTCTCTAACACACAACCAAATACATCCATAAATGTGGTGCTGGAAATCTGCACAGGTGTCACTTAAATGCCACCAGCATTGTAGCCAACAGGCTTGATGATAATTCTTTGGAGAAGGTAGATGCAAAGCTTCTCAGATGGGCTGCTGGAGGTCTCCAGAGTTCACTACAGAGCTGGGGAAGGTGGGTCAGGGCAGCAGGAAGGAAGCTGCATCGCGGGACAAGGCCCTGGCAGCATCATCCCCACTCTGGGACTGAGACCTGCAGAGAAGTGAGCCTGACCTGGGATGCTGGCCCGGGGAGCTGGCAGTCTTCACCAAGGGGCCTGCTATCCGCCCTGTTTGCCCTCAACCTGCCTCAGATTGGGGTCTCTGTGGTCCTCACACACCTGCCTCTGGGGAGGGCCTGCTCTCAGCTTGCCTCCACGGGAGGGTGAAGAGAAGGGGGTGGAAGCAGAGGCGGGGCTACCTCCCTCTGCACTCACCCTTCTGGGCAGAGGCGTGGCTACCTTCTAAGGTAGGCCCTGCCCTGCCTGGTACTCTCCCTGCTCTGACATCTGTCAGGAAGACCAGCTGCACTCCCTCGTCTGGGGCCCCTCCCTTTTTGCATAGGATTAGTTTTGACAGGGCATTCTGCTCCCCTTATCACCAGATCCCTTCCCTTCTGAGACCAGGAGAACAAGGCATGCTGTGGACTGTAGCCCTGCTTGTAGCTGTCCTGTCTCCTGGTAAGCAGGTTGCATAGATGCTAATGGGACAGATTTCTCTCTCTCTCTCTCTCTCTCTCTTTTATATGGGAGTTCATTCTAAAGAATTGCCAGTACCTGTTTCTCATTGTTCATTATTTTTACCATCGCAGGCAGTCAAACATCTTCCAACTCAGAGAAGACCATGACAGTGGTCACCAAGCCAACTGGGTCATCTGTTACAGTCACTTGTAGTATTCCTCAACAAAGTGGCTACATCCACTGGTACCGGTTCCAGGAGGGGAAGGCCCCACAGCGCCTTCTCTACTATGACTTCTCCATTTCCAGTTCTATAGTGGATTCAGGATTCAGTCCAGTTAAATACCATGCTTTTAGAGGCACAAAGATCTGTAACTTTGTACTACAAAATCTGGAAGAAAGTGACTCCGGAGTGCATTACTGTGCCAGCTCGACTGGCACAGTGATTCCAACCTGCTTTGTACTGCACGCAAAAAATTGCTTATGGTTTCTCCTAGTACTCAAGATAGGCCAGTCCCTACCTCACTTCCTGCTCTCAACTCCACCATAGTCTAAACAAAGAGAAGCTCTTTATCTTTTAGGTAAAGAGCCCAACAGCTAACCCCAGAGCTTCCATCTCACACCCTCTCAATGGCCTCACCGTGCCCCGGGACCCCACCTCTGAACCATCCACCCCAGGACTTTCCTAAAATAAAATCCCATATCCAGGCCTTAACCCAGCATTCTGACAGAATACAGGGCTCATTCTGCTCTCCTAGGGGCTGGCACAGCAGCATTCAATCTGGTTTCTAGGATAGACAAAGTCACCTAGGATTGGTCTGCTATGAGAGACAACTGAGAGCATTATGTGTTTTATATATATATATATATACACACACATACACACACACACATATACACACACACACACACATTTATATATATGTAATCTATCTATCTAATCTCATTTGACCTCCAATGAAACCCTACTGAGGATTCAAAGTATCACTGAATTTAACAGATAATAAAATAAGGCAAGGAGGGGGCTAGCTGACTCTTCTAAGGTCATGGAGCAAGAAGTGGCAGAGATTTCAATCCCTGCACTCTGGTTCAAAAAACGAGATCTGCCAGTTGCATTTGCATCCCATGGTCTCTAATGACAGTTAGGGTGATTTCACAAGTTTACACTTCCTCTTTTATCAGCTGCCTTAGGATGCTCCTTGCCCATTCCTTTGGAGCATTAACTTTTCTTATTGGTTCAGAAGACTCTTAAACTTCATGTGTTGAAAAGCCTTCTCCTCTCTTAGTATTTAGTTATTTTCATCACACTTCAGTGAAAAGAGATTTGAATCTGACTTTTAAAACACACTTATGAAAGTATCTTAAAGCATATCTTAAAAAAAAAAAAACAACTACACAATTTTCCAGAGGCTTCTGCTGTCATGGCCAGGCACAGAGACAGCCTATCTCACTCACAATTTACATGTCATTCATCAACACCAGGTGTACCACCTGCAACAGGCTGAAACAATGACTGAAGTAGAACATTCTTCTATGTTTTACTATGAGTCTTTCTTTTCTTTTTTAAAGATTTACTCATTTATTTGAGAGGTAGAGGCAGAGGCAGAGAGATGGGGGGAGGGTGGGATGGAGAAAGAGAGGCTTCACTCTGCAAATGGCTTCAAATGCCAGGGCTGGGCCAGGAACCAGGAGCTTCATCTGGTCTCTCACATGGGTGCAGGGGCCCAAGCACTGGAGCCATCTTCTATTCACTGCATTTCTAGGGACACTCGTAGGGAACTGGATTGGAAGTAGAGCAGCTAGGACTTGAGCTGATGCCCATATCATGCTGACACTGTGACACTGCGGGTAGCAGCTTAACCCACTGCACCACAGTGCTGACTCTACTATGAGTCTTTCTAACACACATCCAAATGCATTCATAAACGTGGTGGTGAAAATCTGGAGATGGGCCATTTAAATACTACCAGCATTTTACTCTACTTGTTACGTCACCCATCCTTCCACCCATCATCCCCAAATCAACTGCAGACATCAGTACACATTCTGAATGTAGGTTTGCCAAATAAAATGTAGGTAAATTTGAATTCTTGATCAATAACAAAGATTTTAATTTTTTTAGTATATCCCAAATATTGCATGACACAGCACTGTATACTTTTTCTTGGATAGTATAGTATCCTAAATCTTGCAGCCCAACCATGGGTGCCTTTTAACAGTACTTGAGAATGATCAGAAATCTTCTAACAAATCAACTTGAGTGCAAACACACACACACACACACACGCACAGGCATGCACACAAGGGCATTTACCTTTGAGGGGCGTCAGACGTAGTCAACATAATGGGTCTCAACTTATTTTAATAAGGTAGATCACAGCTTCTCAGATGTGCTGTTGAAGATGTCCCTGGTCTACCTACAGAGGTCCATGGAGGTGAGTCAGAGCAATAGGAAAGACGTTCCATCTCAGGACAAGGTCATGGCAGCCGCATTCACACAATGACACTGCCAGTTGCAGGGAAGGGAGCCTGCTGTGGGACTGCACACTGCAGAGTGGAACAGGCAAGCATCACCAAGGGTTCTGCTTCCAACTGCATTTGCACCAAAGCGCTACAGACTGAGCACTCAGTGCTCCTCACAGCGCTACCTCAGGGCAGGACTTTCTCTCGGCTTCCACAGGAGGGCGCGCAAGGCACTCAAAGGCGGAAGTAGAGACCAGGCTTCTCCTGTCAGCACTCACCTCTTCTGGGTAAAGAGCTTGGGAGTCTTCTAAGAGAGACCCTGCCTGTTACTTCTCCCTGCTGTGACTTCAGTCGGGAAGACTCCCTCCAACTCACCTCCCTCGGTCCCTCTTTTTTGAGTAGGATTAGAGTTAAGAGGATATTCTTCTTCCCTTATCACCTCATCCCTTCCCTTCTAAGGCCTGAGAGAAGAAGGCATGCTGTGGACACTCTCCCTACTTGTAGCTTTCCTGCCTCCTGGTAAGTAGGTTGCATAGATGTTAATGCGAGTTCTCTCTCTCTCTCTCTCTCTCTCTCTCCATGGAGGTCATACTAAAGAATTATCATTTTCTCATTGTTTTTGTGGTTGCCATTACAGGCAGTCAAACATCTTCCAACTCAGAGAAGACTATGACAGTGGTCACCAAGCCGACTGGGTCATCTGTTGCAGTCACTTGTAGTATTCCTCAACAAAGTGGCTACATCCACTGGTACCGGTTCCAGGAGGGGAAGGCCCCACAGCGCCTTCTCTACTACGTCGTCAGCAGTTCCAGTTCTACAGTGGATTCGGGATTTGATGCATGGAAATACCAAGCTTCTAAAAGCACACAGGGCAGCTATAATGTCTTTCTACGAAACCTGGGAAGAGACGACTCTGGGGTGTATTACTGTGCTGTCTGGACTGGCACAGTGATTCCGACCTGCCCTATACTACACTGAAAATTGTGCCTGTGGTTATTCCTGGTACTCGAGATAGGCCAGCCCCATCTCATTTCCTGTTTCTGACTCTGCGCTGAGCAAAGATAAACTCGGAGCCCAACACCAAACCCCAGAGCTCACATCCCACCACCTTCTCAATGCCTTCACACTGCCTCCAGGCCCCCAGCCCTGCACCTCCACCCCGGCCCTTTCCTAAAGACTGAACTCCCATCTCCAGGCCTTTGCCCAGTGGTCTAGCACTCAGCTGAGTTCCTTCTACTCTCCTAGGGGTTGGAAGAATAGCATTTAACTAGTTTCTGAGACAGGCAAGGTCACCTAAGGTCTTATGGAACATCTTTAGGAGAGAATTATGGGAAGGCTGGTGGTTGGCACATATTCTCACTTCTAAGCTTCTAAAATAATGAAATATTTCAATCATACTGAAGGTTAGAGTGAATAAGAAAACAAATCTTGAGGTGCCTATTACTTAGTTTAGTTAAATCTTCACATTTTAACACATTTGCTTCATATTTTCATAATGGTTTCATGAACTAATTCATAATTCATATGAACTAATTCAGCTGAAGACTCTGGGTTTATTTTCCCAAGCCCATCCTTCCCTTTCCCCTCCCAAGGGTAACCACCAACCAGGTCTCACTCATGCTGCAAAGGCATGTATTCACAAATAATGAAAAACTTCCATCATGCCTCAAGACATAAAATAGGATGTATATTTCAATCCATCACATGTTTTCTGTACTTCACAGTACACTTCTGAATAGTTACTCCTGCTAGTATGCATGCCTTGAATTACTCATTGGCATTCTGTACTGTGAATGTATCACATTTTATTAATTCAAAATCTTATTATCAAAGAGAACTTGAGGGTTGACTTGGTAAAGCTTCAAATAGTTGTGCTTGAATTTTCAGTTGATGTAAAGAGTGCTGTCATGTTTATGTTTTTAAGCTTTGTATCTGCAGTAGCTAGGAATGTTTGGTTTCAAATGGCCAAGTAAGGCAGGGTGTCTTACAGGCCTGGGAGTTGATGGCATCCAGAACTTGAAAGCATCAGAACCGGCTTGTCCATTTCTTCATCTCTTATCTCAGCTTTTGCCCATGTGACATCCTCATTTTCAGGTGTCAAGAACCATGCCAGTGGTCCCTCTTAAGACCCATCCTTACAGATGTCATCCAAGCAAGCTGAGTCGCTTTCCTTTCAACTCCAGTTTGGATACATTGAACGGGAATCAACTTAGGCACAACTTGAGACCTACATGGGTGTGAGGCAGATGACTGGTAGTGCCTAACTCTTTTCTACACATACGAGAGGACTTCAGAACATCCATGGAAAAATGGAATTAAGAGATAAATTTATTTTGTTATCATGGATTTTTAAACACATGTATAATTTTGCCATAATACTCAAATTTCAGAAACTTTTTAAAGATGTCCTCATTGGAAATTTATTTGCTTTTATGTTAAGTATCACATTTTTGGCACTCATTCTCAGGTAGCTACTGTGCTAAGCACGTTACATATATGATCTCATTTGATCTTCCCAGAAACCCTACTGAGGGTTCAAAGTATCACTGAAATACAGATAAGAAACTAGGGCAAAGGGGGCAAGCTGACTTCTCTATGGTTATGCTGCTTGAAGTGGCAGATATTTCAATCCCTGCCATGCAGTTTTAAAAAAAAAAAATGGAGTTCTGTTAATTGTTTGCATCTTGCTGTCTCTAATGAGAGTCAGCCTTATTTCACAAGCTCATTTCTCCTGTGTCAGTTGCCTTGTTATGCTCCTTGTTCTTTGCTCTTATGGAGCATTTAGTGTTCCTTTTGGTTTGGAAGAGCCTTGAAGACCACGGTGGAGACGTTAGCTTCTAGCGAATATACTGAAAAGGCTTCCCCTACTTACTTCTTAGTTATTTTAGCACACATTGATGAAAAGAAATTTGAATCTTAGTTCTTAAAGTTCTTTTAAAAAACAACTACAAAATTTTCACTAAGGTTTCTTGTTGTGTTGCCAGACACGGATAAGGTCTATTTCACCCACAAATTATATGCCATTTGTCTACATTTATTCTAAGGGTTTTCTGATTTCAGATTCATTACATTTAAACTTCTGTTTGTAAGTTATAAGGTAGCCGTTTCACAGTACTTGGTTCTATATGGTGAACCAATTCCCAAAGCAGAATGTGTGGCATAATGAATTATTCCTTGCTGGTCTGAATGTACAACTTCATCCTACATTAAGATATTGCATATCGGTGGATTTCTGTCCCGTGAATCTTTATATTCTAGCGCCAAGTGCTGCACTCCTTTTGTTGCACTAGCTTTATAGTTCCTCTACATTCTGGCAGGCTTAGTTTATAACTCTTCTGTTTTAAGAATTTTATTTCCACTGCAGTGAAATGGGAATTTTGTGCTTTCTCATATTTAAAACATGAGCATGAAGTTCCGGTAAGGAACTCCCAGTCTCCAAGGCACTGGAGTTTACCCTCTGCTTGGGGCCCAGGGCATTCGGCTCTCAGAGCCATTTACACAGCAGCTTCCGATCCTTCCCCTGGGGATTCCGCAGGGCAAAGGGAGACCCACACAGGCCCCTACTTACTCACTGATGAGCTCGCTCATGCTAGCAGCAGTCTATTACCTGAGAGATGCTGAAACAGTGACAGGAGTGGAACTGCAATGTTGTTGTAGTTTTACTGAGTCTCTCTAACACACAACCAAATACATCCATAAATGTGGTGCTGGAAATCTGCACAGGTGTCACTTAAATGCCACCAGCATTGTAGCCAACAGGCTTGATGATAATTCTTTGGAGAAGGTAGATGCAAAGCTTCTCAGATGGGCTGCTGGAGGTCTCCAGAGTTCACTACAGAGCTGGGGAAGGTGGGTCAGGGCAGCAGGAAGGACGCTGCATCGCGGGACAAGGCCCTGGCAGCATCATCCCCACTCTGGGACTGAGACCTGCAGAGAAGTGAGCCTGACCTGGGATGCTGGCCCAGGGGAGCTGGCAGTCTTCACCAAGGGGCCTGCTATCCGCCCTGTTTGCCCTCAACCTGCCTCAGATTGGGGTCTCTGTGGTCCTCACACACCTGCCTCTGGGGAGGGCCTGCTCTCAGCCTGCCTCCACAGGAGGGTGAAGAGAAGGGGGTGGAAGCAGAGGCGGGGCTACCTCCCTCTGCACTCACCCTTCTGGGCAGAGGCGTGGCTACCTTCTGAGGTAGGCCCTGCCCTGCCTGGTACTCTCCCTGCTCTGACATCTGTCAGGAAGACCAGCTGCACTCCCTCACCTGGGGCCCCTCCCTTTTTGCGTAGGATTAGAGTTTTGACAGGGCATTCTGCTCCCCTTATCACCAGATCCCTTCCCTTCTGAGACCAGGAGAACAAGGCATGCTGTGGACTGTAGCCCTGCTTGTAGCTGTCCTGTCTCCTGGTAAGCAGGTTGCATAGATGCTAATGGGACAGATTTCTCTCTCTCTCTCTCTCTCTCTCTCTCATACATGGGAGTTCATTCTAAAGAATTGCCAGTACCTGTTTTTCATTGTTCATTATTTTTACCATCGCAGGCAGTCAAACATCTTCCAACTCAGAGAAGACCATGACAGTGGTCACCAAGCCAACTGGGTCATCTGTTACAGTCACTTGTAGTATTCCTCAACAAAGTGGCTACATCCACTGGTACCGGTTCCAGGAGGGGAAGGCCCCACAGCGCCTTCTCTACTATGACTTCTCCATTTCCAGTTCTATAGTGGATTCAGGATTCAGTCCAGTTAAATACCATGCTTTTAGAGGCACAAAGATCTGTAACTTTGTACTACAAAATCTGGAAGAAAGTGACTCCGGAGTGTATTACTGTGCCAGCTCGACTGGCACAGTGATTCCAACCTGCTTTGTACTCCACGCAAAAAATTGCTTATGGTTTCTCCTAGTACTCAAGATAGGCCAGTCCCTACCTCACTTCCGGCTCTCAACTCCACCATAGTCTAAACAAAGAGAAGCTCTTTATCTTTTAGGTAAAGAGCCCAACAGCTAACCCCAGAGCTTCCATCTCACACCCTCTCAATGGCCTCACCGTGCCCCGGGACCCCACCTCTGAACCATCCACCCCAGGACTTTCCTAAAATAAAATCCCATATCCAGGCCTTAACCCAGCATTCTGACAGAATACAGGGCTCATTCTGCTCTCCTAGGGGCTGGCACAGCAGCATTCAATCTGGTTTCTAGGATCGACAAAGTCACCTAGGATTGGTCTGCTATGAGAGACAACTGAGAGCATTATGTGTTTTATATATATATATATATACACACACACACACATACACACACACAGACACACATATATATATATGTAATCTATCTATCTAATCTCATTTGACCTCCAATGAAACCCTACTGAGGATTCAAAGTATCACTGAATTTAACAGATAATAAAATAAGGCAAGGAGGGGACTAGCTGACTCTTCTAAGGTCATGGAGCAAGAAGTGGCAGAGATTTCAATCCCTGCACTCTGTTCAAAAAACGAGATCTGCCAGTTGCATTTGCATCCCATGGTCTGTAATGACAGGGTGATTTCACAAGTTTACACTTCCTCTTTTATCAGATGCCTTAGGATGCTCCTTGCCCATTCCTTTGGAACATTAACTTTTCTTATTGGTTCAGAAGACTCTTAAACTTCATGTGTTGAAAAGCCTTCTCCTCTCTTAGTATTTAGTTATTTTCATCACACTTCAGTGAAAAGAGATTTGAATCTGACTTTTAAAACACACTTCTGAAAGTATCTTAAAGCATATCTTAAAAAAAAAAAAACAACTACACAATTTTCCAGAGGCTTCTGCTGTCATGGCCAGGCACAGAGACAGCCTATCTCACTCACAATTTACATGTCATTCATCAACAGAAATTCTAAGGATTTTGTTTTTTCAGTTTTGTTACACCTAAGCCTCTAAATGTAATATTCACATGTTTCACAGTATTTGTTTCTGTATGGTGAACCAATTCCCAAAACAGAATGTATGGAATAATTGATGGTTTGCTTGCTGATATGATTGTGCAATTGCATCCAATGGGAAAGGACTGCATGTAGGCGGGGTTGTGTCCAGTGAATCTTTATAATGTAGAGCAAATACTGCACTCCTTTCATTGCACTAACTTGATATTTAGGTGGGCTTAGTGTATAACTTTCCATTTTAAGAATATTCTATCCACTCCAGTGTGATGGCAATTTTCTGCTCTGTTATTTTTGAACTTTGAGCTTTTGAGCCAGGCAAGGAACTCGCAGGCTCTAAGGAACCTGAGCTTGCCTCCCTCTGAGGCCCGGGGTATTCTGCTTTCAAGGCTGTTCATGCAGAGCCTTTCATCCCTACCCTTGTGGTTCCGCAGGCCAAGGGGAAACAAACCCTGGTCCCCTACCTTGCTCTTTTCCCAATTTCATGAGAGCAGCAAATATATTACCCACACAAGGGCAAACAGTGCCTGGAGTGGAACGTTGGTCTACATTTTACTGTGAGTCTCTCTAACACACAACCAAATACATCCATAAATGTGGTGAAAATCTGCACAGGTGCCACTTAAATGCCACCAGCATTGTACTCTGCTTGTTATGTCACCTATCCTTCCACCTCAAACCTCAGATCAACTGCAGTCATTCGTACACAGTCTGCAGGTAGGCTTGTCAAATAAAATACAGGCAAATTTGAATGCTTGATCAATCACAAATACTTTTCTTAGTTTAAGTATATCCCAGATACTGCGTGACACAGCCCTGTGTACTTTCTCTTGAGTGTTATGCCACATCTTGCAGCCCTACCACTTTGGGCCTTTTTACAGTACTGGAGGATGAACACAAGTCTTCTAACAAAATCCCCTGGATGCACACACACACGCACACAGAGAAACCTACACATTGGCATGCACACGAGGGTGTTTACCTCTGAGGGATGTCAGATGTAGCCAACAGGCTTGATGATAATTCTTTGGAGAAGGTAGATGCAAAGCTTCTCAGATGGGCTGCTGGGGGTCTCCAGAGTTCACTACAGAGCTGGGGAAGGTGGGTCAGGGCAGCAGGAAGGACGCTGCATCGCGGGACAAGGCCCTGGCAGCATCATCCCCACTCTGGGACTGAGACCTGCAGAGAAGTGAGCCTGACCTGGGATGCTGGCCCAGGGGAGCTGGCAGTCTTCACCAAGGGGCCTGCTATCCGCCCTGTTTGCCCTCAACCTGCCTCAGATTGGGGTCTCTGTGGTCCTCACACACCTGCCTCTGGGGAGGGTCTGCTCTCAGCCTCCACAGGAGGGTGAAGAGAAGGGGGTGGAAGCAGAGGCGGGGCTACCTCCCTCTGCACTCACCCTTCTGGGCAGAGGCGTGGCTACCACCTAAGGTAGGCCCTGCCCTGCCTGGTACTCTCCCTGCTCTGACATCTGTCAGGAAGACCAGCTGCACTCCCTCGCCTGGGGCCCCTCCCTTTTTGCGTAGGATTAGAGTTTTGACAGGGCATTCTGCTCCCCTTATCACCAGATCCCTTCCCTTCTGAGACCAGGAGAACAAGGCATGCTGTGGACTGTAGCCCTGCTTGTAGCTGTCCTGTCTCCTGGTAAGCAGGTTGCATAGATGCTAATGGGATAGATTTCTCTCTCTCTCTCTCTCTCTCTCTCTCTCTCTCTCTCTCATACATGGGAGTTCATTCTAAAGAATTGCCAGTACCTGTTTTTCATTGTTCATTATTTTTACCATCGCAGGCAGTCAAACATCTTCCAACTCAGAGAAGATCATGACAGTGGTCACCAAGCCAACTGGGTCATCTGTTACAGTCACTTGTAGTATTCCTCAACAAAGTGGCTACATCCACTGGTACCGGTTCCAGGAGGGGAAGGCCCCACAGCGCCTTCTCTACTATGACTTCTCCCGGTCCAGTTCTACAGTGGATTCAGGATTCCGTCCTGGGAAATACCAGGCTTATGAAGGCTCAGGAAGGAGCTGTAAATTTGTAGCACGGAATCTGGAAGAAAGTGACTCTGGAGTGTATTACTGTGCTATCTGGATTGGCACAGTGATTCACATCTGCCCTAAAGTATACTGAGAATTGTGCTTGTGGTTGTTCCTGGTACTCAAGACAGGCCATCCCCACCTCACTTCCTGTTTCTGACTGTGCTGTACTCTGAACAAAGAGAAACCCTGAGCCCAACACCTAACCTCAGTGCCCACATCTCACTCCCCTCCTGATGCTTCATACTGCCCCAAGACCCTACCCTTGCACCCTCCACCCCGGGGTTTTCCTAAAGCCCAAAATCGCATATCTAGGTCTTAGCCCAGCCACCTGCTGACAATACAGTTCTTTCTGCTCTCTTAGGGGCTGGAAGAACAGCATTTAATTTGGTTTCTGGGACAAAGTCTCGGGATGCATTCTCCAATCAGCATGTTTATATATATTTCATATATAGCAGTTATGTGTTCAAGCTACAATAAGGCAGGGGTCATATAGGCTTTACAGTTGATGGCATCCTGAAATTTGGAAGTGGCAGAACCACCTCCTTCCCCATTTCTTCATCTCTTAATTCAGCTTTGTCCCATTTGGTATCCTCATTTTCTGAGCTACCCCAGGTGTCAAGAAATGTGGCTGCTGTCACCTCTAGAGACCCATCCTTACAGGGCACCCCAGCAATTTGAGATGCTTTTCTTTCATCTCTACTTCACAAACATCTGACGGCAGTCGATTTCTTTGGATGCCAGGTTGGTTCTTGGGATCCTTGCAGTGACTAAGATAGTGACGCACAACTCTAGACCCAGATGGGTGGGTGGGGAGATGACTGGTAGTGCCTGGCTGGTTTTGATGTATATGAGGACCTCAGAACCTTTGTAGAAAAATGGAATTAAGAGATTTTTTTTGTAACAAATGTTTAAATATATGCAGTTTTCCCATGATTTGCGTTTTCCACAAACTTTTTAAAAGACATCCTTACGAAAAAGTTATTTACTTTTGTGTAAATCATCATGTTTTTATATTTCTAATATTTTAATGAACTCTCAGATTTTTTAATTACAGTTTTCAAATGATATTTTCTTCTACATATTTATACTTATTTTATTCTCTTGTTCAACTGTATAAGCCTAAAAAAGACTTATTTTATTTAACTGAAAGACAGAGTTACAGAGATGAAGTGTGTGTGAGGAGGAGAGATATCTTCCTTTTGCTATTTTACTCCCCAAATAGCCATAGCAGATAGGGATGGGCCAAACCAAAGCTAGGAGCCTGGAACTCCATCTAGGTTTCCTACATGGGTGGCAGGGGCCAAGTTCTTGGGCCATCCACTCAGGAATCAGGGGTTAGAAGATCTCTGTTTCTTTCTTCTTCCAAATAGTCAAACAAATATATCTTTTTTTTTAAGGGTAATTTAGACATGTTGTCCTCTGTGATCCAGTCTGGTAAGAAAGTGCAGTGAGAAAAGAGGCTGAGGCTTGGACACAAAGTTCTATGAGAGGGCTGGTGCTGTGGCATAGTGGGTAAAGCTACCGCCTGCAGTGCTGGCATCCCATATGGGTGCTGGTTCGAGTCTCAGCTGCTCCACTTCCGATCCAGCTCTCTGCTGTGCACTCAGAAAGCAGTAGAAGATGGACCAAGTCCTTGGGCCCCTGCACCTGCATGGGACACCTGGAAGAAACTCCTGGCTCCTGACTTTGGATTGGCACAGCTCCAGCCATTGCAGCCAACTGGGGAGTGAACCAGAGTATGGAAGACCTCTCTCTCTCTCTCTCTCTCTCTCTCTGCCTCTCCTTCTCTCTGTGTGAAACTCTGACTTTCAAATAAATAAACAAATCTTAAAAAAGTCTATGAGAACGGAAGCCATAGGGGGCTACTAGAAAGTAATTGGAGGGGCTGGCATTGTGGATTAAGCTGCCACCTGAGACACCAGCATCTCATATGAGTGCCCATTTGAGTCCTAGCTGTTCCACCTCCAACCCAGTTCCCTGCCACTGTGCCTGGGAAGGTAGCAGAGGATGGCCCAGGTTGCCTTCCTGGGCCACGTGGGCGACCTGGATGAAGTTCCTGACTCCTGTCTTTGGCCTGGCTCAGCCCTGGCCATAGTGGACATTTGGGGAGTCCACCAGCAGATGGAAGATCTACCTCTCTGTGTAACTCTGCCTTGTAAATAAATATAATAAATCATAGACAGCAAGCAAGCAAGAATTTGGAAGCACATCCACCCTGTCTTCTGAGTGAAGGAAGCTTCCTGGGAGAAATAGTGCCCAAAAAGTAAGGCAGAACTGTGAACAGAAGCTGGGCTGTACAGCAGGGCGGGCAGGAAGACTGCCAGTGAATCTGTGGAAGTGGATCACGCAACCCTAGGCAGAGTAGCTGACAATGGAAAGGTGAGGAGGAGGAGGTCATGCCACAGAGCTTCAGACCTTAAGTACTCTGGAGTTTATCCACAGAATCAAGAATTTTAAGTAGGGTAGTGACTTAATGAGTCCTATGGTGTGGGGCAGGTGGGTGTAGCGGCGGGACTGGGGGCGTAGAGAAAGCTGGTTTGGAGGCAACGGTGAACCTTGGCATATTCAGGAGGCAGAATCCACAGGCATCAGCAGAGTGCCGAGTCAGAAGAGAGTACTGAGCTTGGTGCTCAGGTTCCTGGCTTCGGTAAAGAGGGTGGTAATGTTGTTCCCCGAGATGAAAGAAAGGATGGGTTGGGAGGGAGTGAATTCCCTCTGGCCAATTCAATTTGAGGTCCTGTGTTAGGCAAATTGCAGTTGAAGATGATGGCTCCTCCACGGATACCAACACGCGGGGTTCAGAAGTCAGGTGTGGATGGAGATGGAGGTGTAATGTGCCCCCCACCCCCAGAATAATGAAAGCTGAGAATGGGGAAGGAGCTATACAGAGAAGGTAGAGTGGGAAGGGAAACTTGGAAAACAACTTCTTTTAAAGGATGTGTTTAGGAAGAGCTGTCTGTAAAAATACTATGGGACAGATTAAGTATCTTGGGTTAGGGAAAGAAAACAGACAAAAGGAAATTCAAGAATCCAAATCATTTCTATCTGCCATCTCTCTATCTGTAAGTGAGCTGGGGAGTTTGTTGTTACTGCAACCTGACAAATGTTTATCCAGATAAATCAGAAACCTCAAAAAGGGCATGAATGCTGGCCTCTGCTTGACCTGTTTCCTTCCCTGCCACAGACCTGAGGCCTCCAACTTATCCTTAGGGCAAAGACAGTGTAGAAAACATGGCAATCACAAGCGTTTGTCTGTTCTTTTCTCTTTGTTTAAGTTATGTGAGAGTATCAAGAAGCTATGCCTCATTAAATAAAAAAGAAAAGAAAAGAAACTGTATTTTATTGTGGGCCATGGTGACACATTACAAAGCCACTGTAAAAAAAAAAAAAAAAAAAAAAGAAGCTATGCAATGCTTCCACTTAATGTAGCTACTGAAAAGTATGTCTTATTTTCCCTTTCTCTCCTTCAGCCTCTCTCTCTCTTCTCTCTCTCTTTTTCAGTCTGTCTCTCTAGTTTGCTCAAACCTACAAAGCCAGAAACGCATATATACACAGCAGAAAAGAAGGACTAAAATGCTCATGTAAGTTCTTAACCTTACACCTGCTACCTTGGTCATACACAGGTATCTACAATAACTAATCAGGGCCTAGGGCATCTGAGAAGTAGGTGATCAATTACAACAGCTGCTCAAAAGCAGTAGGGTGAGAAGAACAAACAATAGGAAGCATTGAGAGAGCCCAGCACTTCCACTGCAATACTATACATATAGCCCTCCAAAATGGACAAAGCCAGGTACAAATGGGTTCAAACTATGAGAGAAGCCAAAATCAATCCAAAAGTCCATCTTCAGTTCTGAACTTGAATCCTTCCCACATGGGCATTCCTGGCCCTCAGCCTCAGCCCCTGGTGTTCTCTGAAAGGCACTTCAGTCCTAAGGGCAATCAGAAAAGAATCAGACAGCGGCCAGCCATGCCAGCATGATACCAGCTCCCAGCTCTGAATTCCAGTTGCCCTGATTTCCTCCTGTCAGCGTTTCTGCCCGAGAAATGTAGAGAGCAGCCCAAGTAGGGCAGGAGCCACCACTCATTCACTTGTCCTGAGATTTCCAGCAAGTGTGGATGACACTGACTGAGTAAGAAGGGAAATCTAGTGAAGAGTGGCCACTCCACCTCATTGAGATTGAAACTGTGCATTCCAGGTACTGCACCAAGTTAACTAAGAAGAATGTGAGTGCTGTGAGAAAGTCAGGAACACATGATTGGCACCAACCTTAGTCTCCAATTTCTGTGACATCCCCAGGATCTGCAGGATTCCTAAAGTGCATCCTCATAAACACTTGCTGGAATAAATGAATATTTGCAAGCAGCACTGAAAAAGCACAAAGTCTGTCTTAAAATGAACTCTAGAACATGTATTCTAGAGCCTTAAAAGGAAAGGATATATAAGCATCTGTGGAAGAAACAGTATCTTGTTAGGAAAATACATTCTAGGGTCAGGATTCCTGCTTTGCCACTTACTCCTGCCAAATCTTTTTTTCGTTCTTTTTTTTTTTTTTTTTTTTTTTTTGACAGGCAGAGTTAGACAGTGAGAGAGAGAGAGAGACAGAGAGAAAGGTCTTCCTTTTTCTGTTGGTTCACCCCCCAAGTGACTGCTAAGGCCAGTGTGTTGCGGCCAGCGCGCTGTGCTGATTGGAAGCCAGGAGCCAGGTGCTTCCTCCTGGTCGCCCATGTGGGTGCAGGGCCCAAGGACCTGGGCCATCCTCCACTGCACTCCCGGGCCACAGCAGAGAGCTGGACTGGAAGAGGAGCAACTGGGACAGAATCCAGCGTCCCAACCGGGACTAGAACCCCGGGGTGCCGGCACTGCAGGCAGAGGATTAGCCTAGTGAGCCGCAGCACCAGCCTAAATGCTTTATCAAGGGCTCCATTTGTCATCTGAAAAAATGGGTACAATATACAAAATACTCACCTGATAGATAAAAACAAAAGTGTCCGCAGCACAGTGCCTGCCACATAGGAGGCTCTCAATGAATGGCAGCTATTAATATCAGAAGTACATAAAGCATAATTCAAACACATATTATCCACCAATGCTCACAATAATGAGTAAATTTTAATTTCTGCCTTTGCTCACTTCCTTGTTTGAAACAATTATTAAACAAAAGGAAATGTGGATCTGAAGGGCCACATGTCTTCCTTTTGCCTCTGAGCAACCCTCCCTGTGTTTAGAGAATTTCCCACCTTATCAGACTTGGTGAAAGTCAATTGGTCTCCCACTATAGACAAGAAAACTATCAGATATGTTTTCTCATCCTTATATCCCACGTAGTAACTGAACAGTGCTGGAGGTTACAGCCAGCCCCTGTCCACCCTTGCCACCCCAACACACACCTGCTGGAGGTGCAGGGTGTGGATGAAGACTTGGGGCCCTGGTGACCTCTAGAGTGGGCATGGCTGCACCAGCACTGGCAGCATCCAGGGCCCCAAGCCAACACCCGCAGCCCGGGCCTGGCTGCAGCACCCATCAGTGTCCCTCTCCAGTGAGTCCTTCTACTGTACTCCAGGGCCTTCGAGTCTGTCACCCTGCGCCTCCTCATCACCCAACCTTCCAGTACTGAGCACAGAAACAGTACCTGCGAGGGAGGGGCAGCAAGGCTACCACTTCAGGAGGAGAATCCAGCCACCCAGGCCAGTTGCTTCCTCTCCTTTCTCCTCTGGAAGACCCAAGTCAAGTTCACACCTGCCCCATGTGGGACATCACAGAGCTGAATATGAAAGTCGAGGACATCTGCTATCCAGGGCTAAAGGAACTCTGATTTACCCCCACATTTATTTTTTAAAAAATGTGGAAAGCACAAAATGGAAGTGAAAAAGTGCAGGTAAAGAAAACGAAATACTAATCGTAGTTGGCTGGTTTTCCTTGACTTACCGAGGTGACTGCTTCAGAGTGGTCACTACAGCATTGGAAGGATAACAGTTGAGAGTAGGAGAAATTTAAACTTAAAACTATATCAATAATAATACTATCTAATAATTACTTAAAGCTTGCTATATGTCCAGAAATGGACTAGGTATGTTTAGCTATCTAATCTGCATTAGATTTTCATTATTATTACATCCATTTTCAGATGAGGAAGCTGAGGCACAAAGACAGTAACCCATTTGCAGAGCCAGGCAGCTCCTAAGTGAGATTCAGCCAGTTAATAGCTGCAGCCATGAGAAAATGCTTCAGTGCTGGGAGAAGGTGCTCGGCAGGTATGCTGAGCTGGATGAAGAGGAATGGAAAGTCCTGTACATATGAAGACATTTGTAACCAACAAAAGCATAGCAATATCCATGTGTCTACAGTGAAAAACATCTAAGAGCTAATATACAATAATGTTCATAGTAACTGGTATTGGTCATATGATCATGGACATTTAAATTTCTATCTTGAAAATATTTCTGAGCTTCTTCAATGAATGTCATTATTAATGTCCCAGCATGCTCTGGGACAGGCATTTGGTGAAGTGGTTTAGCTGCTGCTTGGGGTAGCTGCATCCCATATTGGAGTGCCTGGGTTTGATTCCTGGCTCTACTCTGCATTCCAGGTCCCTGGTAATGTGCACCCCAGAGCGCAGCAGATGTTGACTCGAGTACTTGGGTTTCACCACCTATGTAGGAGACCTGGATGGAGTTCCCAGTTTCTAACTTTAGCCTGGTCCAGCCCTGGCTATTGCATACATTTTAGAAGTGAAGCACTGAATGAGGGATCTCTCTCTCTCTCTCCCTATCTCCCCCACCCTCCCTCCTCTCTGTCCTCCCTCTCTCTCTCTTCCTTCCTCCCTTTCAGATAAAATATATATATATATATATATATTTTAAAACCAGCATTTCTACTTATCAATTATTTTACTGAATCACTTTGCTCTTCTGTTCCTCATGAACCTTATTTGTATAAAATAAAAACTACAAGGATCCACATTATGTGATTGTTCTGATGACCAGAAAGGTGAAGAACATGTAGAAAAGAAGTCTAACAAATGGAAATGCTCATTAAACATTTGCTATTATAAAAGTTAATGTTAAATATGCAATATTTTGGAAGATGATATTGAGAAAAAGGGCTCATAAAATAGCTTGCAGGCAAATAGAAACCCTTCTCATCTCCATAGAAATTAAGGCACCTCCTGGCCACTCACCTGCTTTCAAAGAGCCCTAGGGAGCCCAGCAGTTCTTTCCTAAGCTATGCAGGGCCACCACGAGGCCTGGTGGGCAGTCTGCAGCCAGCACTGAAGGTCCAAGGAACAGGCCCGCTCACCACTTCCTTGCCTGACCCTGATTCAGGCCCCGCCCTCCTGCCATAGCCCCGAGCATCTGGCCACCAGGTCTTCATTCTCCTGCCTTCCCCTGAGGGCAGGCCATCGCCATCACTCAGGATGCCACTGCTGGAAGCACTGCTCTTCTTCTCCTTCTGGGCTGGTGAGTCAGTCTGGCCATTTTGCCTAGATTAGCGGCTAAAGTAATTCTTCCATGTCTCCTTCTTCTCTTCTCAGATGTTCACTGTCCATTCTCTTTTACTTTCAGCTGGACTTGGATTATCCAAAGTGGAGCAGTCCCAGATATCCGTTTCCGCGGAAGTACAGAAAAGTGTTGCAATATTTTGCAAGGTATCAAGTTCAACATTTGGAAGTGAAGCCATTCACTGGTACAGGCAGAAACCCAATCAGGCTTTGGAGCACCTAATTCAGGTTTCCTCAACAACAACCCCAGCTCATGCTAACTTGGGTGGGAAGCGCAACAAAGTTGAAGCAGAAAAGGATCCTCAAGATTCCACTTCAATCCTTACTGTAAACTTCATAGAAAAAGGAGATGTGGCCACTTACTACTGTGCTGGCTGGGTCTCACAGTACTAGAACCACCAGGGCAATCTGCACAAGATCTCCCTGGGTCTGTGCCCACCCACATCCTTCCCAAAACAGGCAACCATTTCAACTCCCCAGCGGGGCTTCCTGCCTCGGGCTTGCTTCCTCTGCAGAGCTGCCTGGGCTCTCCAGGAAGCCATCATGGGCTGTGCCTACACAGCGGTTCTCACTTGACACGACTGCCTAATGAGGTGAAGACTGAGAGCACAGGGCATCCAGAGATGTCGGCAGGTAGCCAGGGGCCGGCTCTGCCAGGAAATCATGGCATGCCTCTGCTAGCACACACAGTCAACACAACCCCTCTGCAACACAAGGGTCATTGGCCTAGGTTGCACTAAAGAAATGAAAACTTGGAAAGTTGAAGTTTAATGGTCAGCCAAAGACAAACAGTCATGTTTTTTTTTTGTTTGTTTTGTTTTGTTTTTGACAGATAGAGTTGGACAGTGAGAGAGATAGAGAGAAAGGTCTTCCTTCCATTGGTTCACTCCCTAAATGGCCGCTACGGCTGGCGTTGTGCCGATCCGAAGCCAGGAGCCAGGTGCTTCCTCCTGGTCTCCCATGCGGGTGCAGGGCCTAAGCACTTGGGCCATCCTCCGCTGCCTTCCCTGGCCACAGCAGAGAGCTGGACAGGAAGAGGAGCAACCGGGACTAGAACCCGGTGCCCATATGGGATGCCGGTGCTGCAGGCGGAGGATTAACCAAGTGAGCCACAATGCCAGCGCCAGAGTTGTGCTTTTTGAACTGGACTGTGAGTCCGCACTTAAATCAATGACTGAAAGAGCACAACAAACGTGAGCAGATGAACCTTTCCTAAGAGGAATGCATGCAAATGGGGGGTTAATCTTTTCCAAATGTCTTTACTAAATTCCTTGTGTAGATTTTCTCAATCATGTATCCTATAGCACTGTACCTTAGTAAGGCAGTAGCCCCAGAGGGACAGATCTCAGGAGATAAAATTAAACCCGCTTAGAAAAAATAGTGACAAAATCAATGATAAACAAAAGGAGAGAGGCACATAGCATGTTTTGCATTCAAATGATAAGAAAAAAAAGAAGCCTTGGGGTTAGCTTGATGGCCTAGCAGGTAAAGCTGCTGCCTGCCATGCAGGAATCTTATATGGGTGCTTGTTCCTGTCCCAGCTACTCCACTTCCAATCCAGCCCCCTGCTAAGGTGCCTGGGAAAGCAGCAGAGGATGGCCCAAGTTCTTGGGCGCCTACATCCACATGGGAAGATCAGTCTGGCCTGTCTATAGCCATTGCAGCCATTTGGGGAATGAATCAGCAGATGCAAGAACTTTCTCTGTTTCTCCCTTTCTCTGTAACTCCGCCTTTTGAATAAATAAATAAATCATTTTTAATAAAAGCCTTAAAAATGACATTTTGAAGACATATTAGTAGAAGACAAAGTGTTTAAAATATCAAAAACGACATAAGATGAATAAATTAATTCTTAAATATGTAAATGTCTATATTGATGCAAGAAACAAAATGAAAGGAAATATTAGAGATTTCAGATAGATTTCTTTCTGATGGGATAAGTGAGCTATTTTCTTTTCTGTAACTTAATTATTAGACATACAAAACATTTTAAATAGGACAAAATTTTTATAATTCAATATTATGAGACAAGGTAATTTTTCTCTTGCTCTTCATTAATAATGAAAATACAGATTTAAAACATCATAAAGGGTCATCACTTGTCAGGTACTATTCCCTATACTTAGTGTTTGTTATCATTATCACATGATAGTGAAACATTCTTAAGTCCGAGAGATATTTAGGCAATTATAGATGCAGAAACTAACAGTTAAATATTTTAAGTAACTCTAGCAGTATCAGATGGGGTAAGTAGTCTGTGAAGATGCTTACTGTAACAGGTCATATTCATAAAATATTTTTAAGCATTTGATGTATTTTCGAATACAAAGTTGAATAAAAGCACAGAATGTAAAACTGATGATCCCAACAAGCATACTACTAGTTATAATTGTGTGTAGAAAATGCTAAAATGTTGGCTTTTAGTTTCCATCATTGACACAGGTACTAAAATATCTGGCAGTAAGCATTTGTTATTTGTCTGAACTCCCACATTTAACAGCTGTATGACTTGGTTTGGTTTGAGCCCTCTTTTGCCACACCTTTCTTGTCCATCTAAGTGTGATTGATCAGTGCCTCTTGTGCTGATGAGAAATAAAATGAAATAATATAAGAAAACACTTAGGACAGTGTTACCATGTCCTCAGTAGCTATCACCATAATATTAATTCTAAGGGCCTGTTATTGCATGTAAAAATGAACATTATTTACAGTCACTCCCACCTGTGACATGGTGTTCATAAGACAGTTCCAAAGTCTAGGGTCAGGAGAGCCAATCCCATCCCCATAGATTGCCTTATTTGATGTTCTCTCCAACAACCCCAGTCAAGTCTCCTCTGGGAAGAAAGCCAGATATAAGTAAAATCAGCCATAATCTTAATGGTGATGCCCCATTAATTACAAAACAAAATATACCAATATATTTCAAATAAAAAATGCCTGATTTAAATTAAAAAAAAAATTGTGTACACACACACACACACACACGCACACGTAGGGAGGTGAGGGGGAGAGAAAGCTCCCATTTGCTGATTCATTTTTCAAAGGCCTACAATGGCTGGGACTGGGCCAAGCTGAAGCTAGGAGCCAGGACTGCAATACTGGTCTCTGATGTGTACCCAGGGACCTGATTACTTGAGCTGTCACTTCTCAGACTTTCTTATTGAACTGTACTTACCTGAGCTACTAGCTAAGTGTCTTTGAATGTGGGCATCTAACCTGAGGCACTGTCCTCACTCATCAAATGCAGATCAGAACACCCACCTCACGGGACTGTTGAGAAGATAAGTTAAATGAGAAAACTTCTACTGAAATGCCTGCTGGGTAGGAAGTCCTCAGTGGACATGAGATGCTGTGCTAGTTCTAAAGCTTATCATTACATACTGAACAACAAAGTTTTAAATACTCCTCCATGTGACAAAGGTTGGTAAGACAGGTCCAAGGCCCAGGGGCAATGCAAGCTGATTTCATAGACTGCTCTGTCACATATCAGTTGGCAGTCGCAGTCTAGCCCCTTCTCGGTGGCACTCCATTACAAATGAAGTTGACTGAAAAAAAGGCACCAAAAAAACTCCACTGCTTAAGGACACTGAGAAATTTCAACATCTGATTTTTTTGTTTTGTTTTGCTTGGTAGAAAAATAAAGATCAACGTTCATCTCTGAGTCCTGAGTCAACAGCCAATCACAGAAAGATAGACGTGGGGAGAGAACACAGCAGGTGCTTCCTCATATTCCCAAAGCAGTGTTTCTATAGTATGGAATGGCAGGACGAATGAGTGAGTGGGCAGGAGAACCATCCCAGTCTCACCCCCAGAAATAGACATTCACATCAGATAATGAATCTGTTACCAGAACTGCTCGGCATTCGTGAAGTACTGGAAACCCCAGAACTACCTAGAACTGTAGCAAATCATGAAAAACCTCCAGAAACCACCTGACCTTCCACTCCTTCTGAGACACCAGAACAGCTGCCTGCCATTGACCTGAGAGCTGCAGCTAACAACGTCCTTGTTTCCTTACCTTCTTGCTGGAGACCCAGCTTGGCAGGCGGATGCCACTCCTGGAGACACTCATCTTGTCATCCCTCTGGGCCTGTGAGTTCCCCCCCAATCATTTCTGTCTATGGGTGAAACTGAACTCATTCGTCACTGTTGCTTCTTCACATTTCATTTCTTCTGGGAATTTTCCTTCTTTGTTTGCAGATGGACTTGCGCTGTTGGAGCAACCCCAAATATCAATTTCCAGAGCAAGAGATAAGAGTGCCCACATATCCTGTAAGGCATCCATCCAAAACTTTGATAATGAAGTCATACACTGGTACCGGCAGAAACCAAATGAAGGTATACAGTATCTAATGTATGTTTGGAAAATTTCTACTCAAAGTAACTTAGGAGGGAAGGCCAACAAATTTGAGGCAAGTAAAATTTCTAGCACTTCAATTGTGGACTTGAAAATAAATTTCTTAGAGAAAGAAGATGAGGCCATGTACTACTGTGCCATGTATCGCCGGATCAAACACAGCATTAGAGTTATCAAGGTAATCTATACAAGAATCACCTACCAGTCTGTGCCCACCCACATCCTTCTCTATATGGGTAAGGGCAACCACAGCAGGGTGCACTGCTAAGCAGTCAGCCTGAGCTTCCTTCCTGCAACACTTCCGGAACTCTACAGGAAAACATCTAGGATTCTGCACCCCCTCGACATGAGCCCCACATGGTGTCAGCAATTTTGACCCAAATGCAGAATGATTTGGCACAATCTCCTACTCAACGAGGCTATCTGGGGACTCAGAAAATACAAGGTGGAGGACTCAGAGCAAAATCTGTACAGAGGTTTCCAGTAACCAAAAGGTCCAGAATGAAGGCAGGAAGGGGGCACTTGTATGCCAAAAGAGAGGCTGTGTCCAGGTATCAGTATTATTTTCCCATTTTGTTTATGAGCATAGGAAGTTTTCAGAGGTACAATGATCTGCCAAACAGTAATTGCATGGACACTCTGAAGAAATCCAGTGCTATGAAATCTATAACTAAGTGGTCATCTACTGGGGGTATATGAGAGATCAAAGTATAAATCCTATGTCTAGGGGAAGGGGAGGCAGTTCACTCACACTTGAGGCTCAATTTGGCTCCATTGGAGGGGGCCCCGCTCATAGCAGGTGACCTTAGCATGGCAGATACACCTTGAAGACCTTGATCCTCACTGTTCTGGCAAACACCAAAAGTCATGAATAAAAGGTCAGAGAGTAAAATGAAAGATAATACATGCTCTCCATACCTATACATGAAACAAAGATACTATCTCTTATAAATAAACAAAATAAAAAATTATTGGGAATTATTTTATATTTATTCTGTGATTAGTTGAGTGGTTGGGGACTTTCAAGGGATAGTAGGGCAAAATACCAAACTATAAAAACTCCTCTTCCATTTTCTTTCAAACAAGGAAGGAATCAATGAGGGAAAAATGCTAACTTCATGAATTTTCCTTATATTAATACGTTTAGTAATTTGGCTGTCCTAGCACAGAATTATGTGTCAGATTACGGTCCAAATTAACGACTGGCATGCAGTTTACTTATAGTCCCTGAAATAACGGTGGCACATTCCTTCTCCATTTTTCCCTCCCAAGGATCAAGTTGTACCGTGAAGTGCAGAGATGCTGTGGAAAGGCAAATGAGGGAACGCTGGGGGCTCCATGGCAGTGTTGGCCCCTTCCCAGGAGCAGACCCAAAACCGGAGTCCCACACCCTGTCCATAGTGATTCGTGACCCCAGTGGTGCACAGCCGAATGACTCCAGCACCTGGCCCAGTCTTTGCAGACCTTACCTTTGTCTAATATGCATACATAGAAACAAAAATGAGAGGGCCACGTAAAGGAGTGAAAAAGACTGAGAATGCAAACCCTTTCCAGGGAGAACTGAGGGAAGAGATGGAATTAAGCTCCTGACAATCTGCGCTACTTCCTTTATATAAAAGACAATCCTATTTAACCTTCAGAAGAACAGGGGAGAGCCCTTCCACGGTAGCCACACAAGGGTCAGATCCTAGGAGATGAACCCCCTCCATTTTTTCAACAGAACTGGGCTATTTATAGGCATGGAAATGTGATGTCACACTAAAGTGACGGACAGGAGGGAAGTGACACTGTGGTTTTAAAGTGATGAAATACAATGTAATTATCAAGCACAATGTGTTTTCAAGAATTATATGTAAAACTGAAACTTTTCAGGACATATGAGTAAGGAGAATGTTAAATTCAGATTTGGTTTATATAATGGTACTTCCAAAAGTCCCTGTAAAGATGAAAATAAAAGATTAGCATGGTGCAAAAAAATTTGAAATCCATGTATGCGAGGAATTTTCAAAGTTCGTGGAAAATGCATATGATGAGGACTATTCATATGTTTCAAATTACTTTTGCACTAAACCTATCTTTTAATTCCATTTTTATACAAATATCGTGTAGTACCTTTATATGGTAAGATATACAATGTATATCTTGGAGGAAGAATAAATGAGAGGAAATTTTCTAAAGTTAAAGAGTTGATGTCTCTGAAAGGACAAGTATTTTTAGGTTCTATTGGTACTATTACAGATTTCATGCATTTTAATGAAAATCTTCTATTATTTCAAAGTTTTGCATACATCAGAGTCATGTTGTTGATTTTTTAGTTTAATAATGAAATTGTTCATGTAATATAACTAGAACATAAGGCACACTTAAAATTGTTGTTCATATTTTTCTAACTGATCATTACTATCGCATATCTTTCAGGAAAAAAAAAAAAACGCTACTTCAGTCTTACAGATATTAGCATTCACCATGGAGCAGACTGTCAGTAAATCATGTCCATTCCCAGCAGCCCCCTGACAAAGTTTACTGAAACACAACCTTCCTGGAGCCGGTACTGTGGCATAGCAGGTAAAGCCACCACTTACAGTGCCGGCATCCCATATGGGTGCTGGTTCCAGTCTTGGCTATTCTACTTCTCATCCAACTCTATTGTGCCCTGGGAAAGCAGAAGATGAGGGCCCAAGTCCTTGCACCCCTGCACCTGCGTGGGAGACCTGGAAGAAGTTCCTGGCTCCTGGCTTCAGATTGGCACAGCTCCAGCCATTGTGGCCATTTGGGGCGTGAACCAGTGGATGGAAGATCTCTCTATCTGCTTCTGCCTCTTTAACTCTTTCAAAAAAAAAAGAAAAAAAAAAAAAGGAAAGAAAGACACCCAACCTTCCCATATGTTTACATATTCTCCATAGCTGCTTTGAGACTTGAGTGTGTATAAGGCCCAAAATATTTACTGTTTGACCCTTTGCAGAAAATGTTCTAGAGTGACATAGTGATAAGTGACATGTATTTTGATTTTATGTTTCCCCATTTTTCAGTTCCTTAGTGACTCTTTGTTTCACATCTACCCTTACCATATCAACTGTGTGACTTTGGATAAATTATTTCATGCATCTTTGGTTCATCTTCTTCACTTATATTAGAAGACACTGGTACAGTGGTTAACAGTGACTGCTTGGTACATACACCCACAACCCGTATTGGAGAGGCTGGTTCAAGTCCCGGCTGCTCTACTCCCAATGCAGCTTCCTACTAATGCATACCTCATAGGGCAGTTGGTGAAGGCTCAAGTTCTTGAGTCCCTGCCACCCATGTGGCACCAATGTCAACAGAAGCCAGGCCATCCTTTAAAATGAATTCTGTATTTTCCTCCAATGAAAATGGCATCTGTGAATGCAGTGTTAACTGGGAAAGACAGGAAGCCAGGAAATGGCAGTGACCTGTCTGCAAGCTTCAGAATACAACGAGTAGCTAGGCCCAACAGGGCTCTACTACTGTGCCTGTTCAGATATGTAGCAGCAAATGCTTCACCCTAACTGAACAAATCCCCCCTCATCACTCACACATCTGCAAACACACAACCACACACCACCTGCTTCCTCTCTCCCAGAGGGCCTGCCAGCTGTCCACAGAGTGCTTTTCTCCTGCACGCATGTCCTGAGCAGAATTGTTTCTGCTTCCCCGTCTATAGGATGCCTCCTTGGAAGGAAGCCATAATCCAATGTGGAAATGGTTTGCTAACCCTGAATGAATGAATGCTAGAAAATACAATATTTTGAGTGATGCAAAATCAGGTTTCAAATTCTTGCAGGACCACCCACTGACAGTGGGGAACAATACTAATGGTTTTCCATCCTGCTTTCCCAGTTTACTGTGGTCATGGTGTGAACAATCCCATAGGGCTGCTGAAGGGATAGCGAAGTCATATAGGAGAGTTCTTAGCATTATGTTCAACAAATCACTGTGTTCTTTCCCGTTACAACTGAATCACTTCACTGAACCATTTCAGCTAAAATGAGATAGTTAGGAACTCTTAAGATTCATTTCTACATTGTCCTCCAAACACAGTAAAGTGCAGTTTTGAATAAAAAACTAAAAATTATGGGTGGGAAAAGAATAGATGGTGATGACCCAAAAGGATTTATTTCCTCCAACATTATGCTCATTTTGAACAGAGTATAATAACTTCACAAATTCTAAAGCAATAATTAAGCCAGTTGTTAGTATTATTCATCAAACATGAACTTTGGGTAAATTACTGACCTATGTGTATACACACCACTACAAGAGGTGGTGAAATTATTATCTCATATATGGTAATGATACTTTTCATCCCTATTCATGATAGCTGTGCATAGCTACTCACAGCTCTTAAAATGTGTCTAGGAGTGAAAAACATGTCAAGGATGGGTGTATCTGAAACAAAACTTAAAAGACGAAGCTGGCACTGTGGCTCACTTGGTTAATCCTCCACCTGGGGCACTGGCATCCCATATGGGCGCCAGTTCTAGTCCCAGTTGCTCCTCTTCCAGTCCAGCTCTCTGCTGTGGCCTGGGAGGGCAGTGGAGGATGGCCCAAGTCCTTGGGCCCCTGCACCTTCACGGAGACCAGAAGCACCTGGCTCCTGGCTTCAGATCGGCGTAGCTCTGGCCATAGAGGCCATTTGGGGAGTGAACCAATGGAAGGAAGTCCTTTCTCTCTGTCTCTGTCTCTCACTGTCTGTAACTCTGTCAAATAATAAAAAAAAAAAAAACTTAAAGGAAAAGAGGATTTCTACCAAGGAGAACTTAGCAATGAATTATTTTAAGACTGGTGTTTGATGAGGTCTTCCAGGAACTGACAGCTCCTTTATGGTCAGAGCATATTAGCACAGCACTGACGGATCTCTCTGTGAAAGACTTTCATTGGTTTGAAAATAAACCTGCCCCCTTCCCTTCTGTGCCTGCCCTTTAGAGCAAGGCTGTCACTCCATCCTCAGAACTCCTTCATGTTCTTACAGTGTCCATTCCAACTAGCTCCTGGCAATGCTAACCCCATGGGTTTTCCTTGTGTCTTTGGCTTGGGTTTGTAGGTTGCCTTACTCCTTTCTCATCCTTTCATTCCTTTCGTGTTCAGTGTCAGTACCTCTCATTTCTCTTCTTGCATTGCAGGTGGAGACACCAATGTGAGACTAACTCAAAGTCACCTCTCCTTTACTGGAAAGTCAGGCAGAACAGTGCAGATAAGTTGCAAGCTCTCTGGAGTCTCCCTCAAAAATGTCATCATGCACTGGTATCAACAAAAAGAAGGGGAGCCCCTGAAACGGATCCTTTATGGCTTTGGCAAGAATTACAAACAAGACATGCCCAATTCCCGCTTGGAGGCCCGTGATAACGATAGGGGCATATTTTACCTGGTCATCAACAATGTCATCGAGTCAGATGAAGCCACATACTACTGTGCCTGCTGGGACCCCACAGTGCCTCAGAGTCAGAATGGACCTGTAAGGAAACTTTCAATTACTCCCCTCCAACGGCCTCCACACTCCTGCAACCACAACGGAGTCTTCAATGCTCTTGTTCATAGGTTCATGTGCTTGGAACAGGGGGGCTCTTGGGACAAATTTAGGTCAACGCCTCCCCCTTCAAATGAGGAAGCTGAGGCCCAAAGAAGGCAAGTGGCTTTCCTCATGTTAGCTAACCACAGAGGTGGTCTACACATCTGCATTCCAGAGTCTCAGTTCAGGGCCTCTTCCTGCCTTCTTGTGGTCACTGTTGAACTTCCCTTAGCAAAACTGCATTTGTTTCAGATGGGAGCTGTGACAACTATGTCTTCCCTGCCTACGTAATGCCCCTGGCCTGTGCCAGATCTGCTGGAGGCCCGGTATGTGACCACCACTCTGCTGAGAAGGGGATAAGGGTCAGCAGGGGCTGGGCTCCACGCTCCATCCACATTGACAGTTTTTCCATGGCTACTTACTCTCCTTCGTATGAGTGGTTTCCTGTCTGTCCAGAAATAGCCAATACCTGGAATAATTTTTTGGGCACATACAGAAAACACATGGGCACGTGGGAATAGAGAGTGAGTTCTTCACATATATATAGGCATAAATCCCTTGCCTGTTCCAAAATGACCTGCCAAACCAAGGCGCAAATCTCCTACTTGTTATTCTGAAACCTGGGACCAATCCTAATTGGATGACCATGCAGCACTGGGCTTCTTTCTACCTTGTTAGACTGACCCAGAACTTTTACACGCCCAGGTTCTCACCAGCCACTCCATGAAAATAACAGGAACACCATTAACAACATCTATACTATTACATGGTAGTTTTATAGATCTCTTTCTGGATGTCTAATAGGTAGCCAAAACAAAATTATTGCTTCCAATCCCGCTCCTTGACCTCAATGTCCACAATGTGGATTATTTATCTCCAAACGTCCTTGTCTTAGTAAGTAGAAAGGTGTATTATGTCATGTATCACAATAACAAGGGTTTTTTGTTAAGTGTGTTCTTGACCTTGCACAGTTTTTGTCCCCTCTGGTAATGAAGGACAAAGAAATGAGGAGACCTGTTCACTCTTGAGTTGAGTTGTCTGTAACATGAGATCTGACAGAAGGAGATAGGGTGATGCAGGTAGGCAGCTAGCAAGGAGGAGCTGAGTTTGCCTGCCCCTCTCTGCAGCCTCACCTGCTCCACCCTAAACTCTCCCCTCTCCCCCTGGGAAAACTGCAGTTCCCATGAAACTGCCTTGTAGAATGAGTTCTGGCCAAAAAGCATAAGCAACATGGCTGCTGACTGTGTCTCTGCAATGACTTTTTGCTGATTTTCACATCATTACAATAAAATTGCCATGGCTGACACTCCTACTCCCAACATGCACCTGATGCCATGACACTTCTGAGAGTTACAAAAAAAGGGGAAAGAAATAGGCAGCACTCAACCCCTGCCCCAAACTCCACCCCTGCAAATATTCAATTAAATTTTTTACTTTGTATAATCATGAGTATACTTTGCATACTCATCTTATATTCTTAGACTATATAAGGGATGGCTCTTAACCTCATTGAGTGCAGCTCTCCCTCTATCACATTCACTTGAGTGAGTATTTTCACTTTTCAAGCATATAAATCTTGTTCCTCTGTTGACTTTTACCTACATTTCATTCTCAAGTCTCTCTTGTGTTGGACACAAGAACATGGACCTAGCCAATCAATGACATCTTGATCCAGCAGGCCCACTACAAGGAGACCCTGGGAACTATAATTTCTCCTTCCAGAAATTCAATCACAAACCAGGCCAACTCTGTGTGGCCCTGCCTGTTACTGGAGTTGGCTGTCAAGACAACTCTATGAATCCCACACAGAGGGCCTTTCACTTGTCTCTCTATCTTAACTCAGGTTTATTTATTTATTTTTTAAAGATTTATTTATTTGGCTGGCGCTGCGGCTCAATAGGCTAATCCTCCACCTGCGGCGCTGGCACCCCGGGTTCTAGTCCTTGTTGGGACGCCGGATTCTGTCCTGGTTGCTCCTCTTCCAGTCCAGCTCTCTGCTGTGGCCTGGGAGTGCAGTGGGGGATGGCCCAAGTACTTGGGCCCTGCACCCGCATGGGAGACCAGGCAAAGCACCTGGCTCCTGGCTTCAGATCAGCACAGTGTGCCAGCCGCAGTGCGCCAGCTGCAGCAGCCATTGGGGGGTGAACCAACGGAAATAGGAAGACCTTTCTCTCTGTCTCTCTCTCTCACTGTCCACTCTGCCTGTCAAAAAAAAAAAAAGATTTATTTATTTAATTGAAAGAGTTACACAGAGAGAGAGGAGAGGCAAAGAGAGAGAGAGAGAGGTCTTCCATCTGCTGGTTCACTCCCCAGTTGGCCTCAATGGCTGGAGCTGCGCCAATCCGAAGCCAGGAGCCAGGAGCTTCTTCTGGGTCTCCTAAGTGGGTGCAGAGGCCCAAGGACTTGGGCTATCTTCTACTGCTTTCCCAGGCCATAGCAGAGAGCTGGATCAGAAGAGGAGCAGCTGAGACTAGAACTGGCACCCATATGTGATGCCCTGGTGTTAACCCGCTACGCCACAACGCTGGCCCCTTGACTCAGGTTTAAACAGTTTTATGTATGGAGTAATAGACAAGTCCAATAAAGCAATAACCATCTAATTATAATTTAGAAGTGCATGGTCCAAATGTTCCGATGGACACTATAATCTCAGGCTAATTCAAAGACAAACAAAAAGAAGGTAACTGGTGGGAATTAATTGGATATTCATATTAAGCTAAATCCAGTCTTCACAGATTTTTTTACCAGCTGCTTGCACGGACTGCCCATTGCATTTTAGAATAAGAAAATATGTAATTTCATCCACTTTGTATTTAGTTCAATATTTCCTGTGATTCTCAGAAAACAACAGCCCATATGGCCAATTGAGATACAGTTCCTCTGTGTTACACAAATCTGAAATAGACACAGAAATTGTGTCTGTGCTACACAGATCCTTCTAATGTCACCCAAGCAACGTGAAGAAGGTGAATGTACAAGTCTGAGGTCTCATGAACTTGAACTCAAATTCCAACCTAGTTTAAACTCCCTACTTCTCAGTTTCTTTCTATTTGAAGTGGAAAGAGATGATAGGTAGATAGATAGGTAGAAAGATAGATAGATAGAAAGGGATGAATAGAGAGAGCTACCAAATCAAAATTCCCACAATTGTCAGGGCCCAGTGGAAGCTTGCAGCCAGGTCTCCCAAGTGGGTGGCAGGAACCCAGTTACTTGAACCATCACTGCTACCTCCCAAGGTCTTAAGTAGCAGGAAGCTGAAGTCAGAAGCCATAGCTGGGTATCTAACCCATATATTCTGATATGGAATGTGGGTATCTCAACTTGTCTTCTAACTGCTTAAACATCTGTCACTCTTAATGACTTTTAATGGTAATAACCACTTACAGGTGAAACTAAGGGGAAAATATATGGTTGATGCCTGATTCATGATAGGTTCTGTATTTACAAATTTTCTTCCCCTTAGTAGCAGACAGGGGCATGGCTTGTCATTCTTGAATAAGAAGAAAGGAAATGGAAAGGAGATTTGGAGCTGACGGTTGAGAGTTAATTCCCAAGAGAGAATCTTCCACACAGAAGGACCCTTTATGAAAAGCTATTCAGAACAGAAGAGCAAACATTTCATGTTTAAAAAGAAACAGGTGTTCAGTAGCCATGTTTGCCTGTGGGAGCTGTATAAATTGAGAAGTATCTGTAGTATACGCAGAGGCATGTTAAGTATTGAAAGTGCCATAGAAGTCCTAAGAGACGAGGAGATCATCGAATTCAGGATGAAGATACCTGACAACATTTGCTAAAGTAAAGGACTTGCTTCAAAGTGAAATGTCCTGGCCTCTCCCAAATATTGTTCTTTAGTTTTTAAAAACAAGGAAACTCAGTACTTTCAAATAATTCATCATACTATATGGAAACAAATCTGATATCATCTAAGCAATGATATATGTGAAATTAGAAATGGCATGATTCCTCTGAATGCTACTGATTCATGGAAGGAGTATGTGATTTTCATCTCTTGCACACATCAGATAATGCTTATTTTGATTAATATAGTGGTCTGCTCATCTTTCTTATTGGAAGCCTCTATAATTTACTCAGGTATCAGATTTCATTAAAAACCATCAGCATTTCTAGAAGATAAATAGATATGAAGAAATGGATAAATTATTTTGTTTCAAGATGGCAGCCAAACCTTGAATTGAAAAATGAGATAGCTCATACTTTTGATTATCTCACAGATTTGGTTAAAATTGGTCAAGTTGTCATAGTCAAGCTTGAAAAAGTGATACCAAATTTCAAGACATTAAGCCAAAACTTGGGCTTTTACTTCTGCTGACTTGCTTACTATTGATGTATTTATTCCTCACCACGTTTGCAGTAAAACCTAAGTTGCCTTAGTGGAGCCTTGCAAGGCATATTGAGTGGGGTGCGTGTTGGTCACATAAAGCAGGAGGGGAAGTGAAATCACTCATTTTTATACACAGTCTAAAGTGTTCCCATTCTTCCTTAGAGAGCAAGTGTGTGCCTGAGTTTTGCCTCAGTGATAGAAGGAAATCACCAGTTTTTGAATCCCTACAGTGTTTCAGTCTGTATTGTAATCACATTTTTTTTTCATCTGAATCCACAGAGGTCCTGAGACATGCATTTAACTGTCTTCATCTCGAAGACCAAGAATCCAAGGCTCTAAAAAGTGTGTCTGCCCAAGCAAGGGTCTGTCACCAGGAGTGGAAAACTGGAATCTGAAATGGATGTCTCTGGTTTTACAGTGTCTTTTTCTTCACTCCCAACTTCCTGAGATGGTAATTTGATTTATTTCTTGAGAACCCTTTAAAAACTCTAGTAAAATTGTTCATGTTCATTGCACTAGTCACACTGCCCATCTCCACTGTCACTGTAACAACTCGGGTTCTTGGTTGCTTCCTGTTGGCTTATGGTGACCACCTGCAACCCACATCTGCCTCACCCGAGCAGCTCCCGCTCCCCAAAGCACAAGCCCGATAATGTCACTTTTGACTTTGAATTATTCCGTAAGTCCATTTTTTCAGTGCTATCCATTTTTCTCTTTAAAACATTTATCTGAAAATATGAGAGTACTTTAAACATTTTGTAGAAAGATGAAATTAAAAGAAAACTTTATTTTGGTGCAAAAATGGAATTCCATGCATCTGTTTTTTTCATAATATGTATCTTCCATGCATATTACGAAGATTTTTTGAAGATCCCTCATATTTTAAAAAGTAAAAATTCTTATTTCTACTTCTTAAAAATTAATGTTTTAAGGTTTTCCTACCTCATTCCATGCTCCTCCACACATTAGATACAATTGTTCTCATTCATGTTCTTTTTTAATACATGTGTAGCTTTTGTAATTTTAATTTTAATCCACTTTGAACTTATTTTATATGGTTACGAAGTGAATAGATATTTTTTCCCAATAGATAATCATTGTCCTATTGCCAGTTTTTAAATAATTTATCATTTCCTACAGTTTGAAAATGCTGCATCACATTTCAAATATCCAGATATTTGGAACATTTTCTAGAGTTTATCTGCTTTTTTATCTGTTTCATATTCTTAGATCAGTGGCTTTGTAATAGGTATTAAGATTTACTCTGCCAAATGTCTATTCACTCCTATTTTTCCAAAAATTCTTTCTCAATTATCTCATATTTATTCATCTTTAAAGAATTTGATATCAACCTATTTAGCCTGTCATAGCAATAAATGTCCTAGTATTTCTGACTGGAATGTTGTCCATTTAAACAGGAATGTAGGAGGTATCGCCTCTTAAGAATAGGCATTTTTCCTTCATGATTATATTATCCAGGTTTTCTTTTATGGCTTTTGTAAAATTTTATACTGTTTTCTTCAGAAACTTCTGTGTTCTTTCTAGAAAAACATTTCTAAGGAAGGATTTTAAAATAAATTTTTTAAAAAGTAAAAAAAAAAAAAAAAAAAAAAAAAACCTTCGGTGTTCTTCATAAACTTCTTATATTTGATTATAAATTAAATAAATGCCCTGATAATTCATTGCTTTTCTTTTGCATTCTATTAGGTTAAACCTTTCATGGTTCTTGATGTACAGGCAACTCCTGTGGCTTCTGATAATTTTCCTCATGCTCTCAGAATAAGGAAAAGCAGAGGATACAAAGAGATTGAGTGGGCATCATTCACAGCTACCATAGATAGGTGCAAAGGGTCATCAGCAGTTTCAAGTCATATTAATTCAGAATCCTCAGTTTAAAAAACCCCTTTCCAAACATAATTTTCACCCAACCCTCATCTCCTCCAGTTGGCTGTGAAAGGACACTTGACCACTTGGCCACTGCGACTTTGCTCATATCTTCACGGCAGAGGTCAGAGACAGAGGCCTCCTCACAGGACCTAGGCCCGGGCAGCGGGATGTGGAGTGGACACGGGGTGACGTCAGGCCTGTTCTCCTCTGCCCTTGCAGCTGCACCCTCATCAGTTTGGGGGGAGTACTCACTGCTTCTGGAGACTTTTTTTTTTTTTTTTTGACAGGCAGAGTGGACAGTGAGAGAGAGAGACAGAGAGAAAGGTCTTCCTTTGCCGTTGGTTCACCTTCCAATGGCCGCCGCGGCCGGCGCGCTGCGGCCGGCGCACCGCGCTGATCCGATGGCAGGAGCCAGGAGCCAGGTGCTTTTTCCTGGTCTCCCATGGAGTACAGGGCCCAAGCACCTGGGCCATCCTCCACTGCACTCCCTGGCCACAGCAGAGGGCTGGCCTGGAAGAGGGGCAACCGGGACAGAATCCAGCGCCCCGACCGGGACTAGAACCCGGTGTGCCGGCGCCGCAAGGTGGAGGATTAGCCTAGTGAGCCGCGGTGCCGGCCTGGAGACTTCTGTTCGCCTGTGTTGGCACCTTAGCTTTTCAGCTGCAAAAGTGCTTTCTCCTTTCAGAAGCACATTCCCAGATTGCTAAGAGGGAGGCCCTGGTGTGTCTGAGAACAGAGTGTCTTTCCCTTTGATGTACTCTCTGAGCAGTTGCAACCTCAACTGAACACCTGGAAATTGGAAAAAAAGAAAAAAAGACTTAATTCTCTGAATACTTTCCTTGGCAATTCAGAAACACTGGCTGAAAGGATGGCCTCTCTTTTCTGCCCCTGCTCATCCCCTTTGCATTTATGCTGGCACACTTCAAAGATCTGTGTCTCACGGGGAACAGACTACTTAGGAGGCCAATTTACCAGGAAATTTATTATCAGATGCAACAGAAACCTATACTCAAGGACTTCCAAAGGGGCCCAGAAGATCAGATTCCCTGAGCAAAGGTGTGAAACTACCACCCCCTCATAAAGCCTTAAAGAAGCCTGAGATTTTTGTAGAAGCTGTCACCACTGTGATGACCCAGAATGTTTGGATCAAGATATTTGGAAAAGGAACTAAGCTCATAGTAACTCCTCCTGGTAAGTGATTATTTAAAAAAAAAACTATTTTTAATCTAGTACTGAAAAGCTGATAGAAGCTTCTCAGAAAAATCAGTGTAAGATCTGCCACGTTCTTGACCTTGGCACATAAACAGTAATTTTGCAACTATTGGCTACTAGATATGGAAACAAAACTACTTTGAAAATGGTTTCTTCCCTTCTCTAAGTGGTTGAAATTCAACTTTTAGAATGTATAAACATCAAAAAGGCAGACTCAAGCAAGAAGTTAAAATACTTTGAGACCATGTCTGTAAACCACTGGTGTAAGTTACTAGTTCAAAATATTCTTTTGTAAAAGATCGATTAAGTGAGATATATCAAAACAGAATTTTACTAATGATCTTTTGCTAATAATTTCCTATGGGCATAGTAGTCCTTTGTCACAATAACTGGCAGAATATATATTACTGGCTTTATCTTCTCCCTAACAACAAAGTAAAAAATTAATTCTTACAGTAAATACTATCAGATGACAATAAATCACACTTACTTCTCTAACTTCTTAAAGGTAGATCATCAGTCTAAGTTAGTACAATTGTGAATCTTGTTATATTGCCTGGAGTTGGCCCAGTTTCCTGAAATTTGCAAGTTTGACAAGAAGGCATCTCAGCTCCAAGGTCCATGAAAAAAGTCTTTGTGGTTTTCCATCGTCATTTGATCATTCATAGACTGAAGACAATTTTTGTGTTGGATGCTGGAGAAAAAAGGGTAGACAAAACATAATCCCAGCGCTCAACAGCCTTCAGTCTAGCAGGTAAACACTCTAGGTTAGGCCCAGACCGTGTTCCTTGACCTGTGGCTGCCAGAGAGGCAGGAGTTCTTATGCTCAGGAGCACTGTTCCTTTCTTAATTTGTGTAGGAATTATTGCTTCCAAAATCCATATGCCATGTGTGGCAGAATAATTTGATGAAATGCCCTAATAGTGTATTAGTATATACCATATGTACACCATACATTGTATATTATATATAATAGTATATAATAATAATAGTATATTAGAGATGGAAAAATCTCTCACTTGTTCTTTTTAACACTGTAGCTTTCAAGTAGATACAAATATATAAACATTTAAAAAAGAGAAAAACATGCTACAGTGAGTAATCTAACAATGACTTAATGTATTTCCAAAATCTATTTGAGAAGACCTAAAATATAATACACAAACATAGTCAGGTCATTAAATAAAAGTAGAAGACCAAAAGCTCTAAGGAAAGGAGAAGAAAAAGACCTGTGATTATCTAGCAAGAAGCTAGAGTAAAATTTATAAAGAGTAAAATTTTATTCTAAAAAAAAGGTAAAAGCGTGGTGGAATATGAACTTTTTATTAATTTTTTATTTAAAACAAGTACAACATATTATCAAAATGAAAGAGATGTCGGCCCTTTAGGAGGGAAGTTCGGTAAAGAGTGGACAGTTTACAACAGCCACTTGTGAGAATGGGAGAAACGGGTGTTAAGTGCTGTCACTGCACCAGCATTATGGTCTCCTAACATTGCATGCCATGCCCAGTTGGGGAACCTCAACAAGTGTAGTTAGGCAGATCACATTCAGTGATCTAAAATGACAATTAGAAGATGGATTTCTGTTATGCCTCCTGCCATTTCTCTAGCCATTTTGCCTTGGAGGGCCGGACAGGAGTTCCAAGCTGGACTTTGGCATGAGCTGGATACAAGTCAGTTTGAGGCTGAAGTTGGGATTCCAATATGTTGTTCTGTTGATTGGGGAAAAAAAAAGCCATTTGTTTTGGACAACACAAGTGAAGCACTTCCATATACTGACTGCATTTATTAGGTGTCAGCCAATGCTCCCTTGGATTGTCTTAACAGAGTAGTGAAGACAAGATGATAGACTATGTAATAGATAGGCAGTTAAAGATAGAGTGTGTGAAAGATAGGTTTCCTGGGATGATGGTTTAGAGAATCCCAGGCACAAAAGAGCAAAGCAGAATACAAATGGAAGGCAGAGGAACAACTCTCCCTCCTTTATTGCTGGGGAGGTAACTGCCCCTTCAAAATGCTGGAGTTTCTATTAGGATAAGCAAGGTTTGGTCCTAGGAGATTAAAGGGTCATATTGGACCACACAATCAGATCATACAGATTGCTAATAAAAATAATGATGATAATAAGAACATCTTGCATTTTCATAACACTTTTAACCAAATTTATTTTTCATATTTTGTTTCATTTTGACTTCATGTTAGTACTGGCAGTGATGTTTAATGGACTTACACTCATATAATGGTTTTTGTATAAATAAAGCACCAAAAAAATTAAGTTATTTGATTTACTCAGCCACAGAATTTTCTTTGAGCAAAATGCATGAGGAAAATAACTGAGGTCTCTTGAGAATCCCAGCCCATCATTCTGTTGCCACTAGAATTTGAAGAAGTCAGGGAGATGTGATTAGTCTAAAGTTTTTAATACAGGCTGAATCACTGTGGAACTATTATGAGAAAGTCTTCGGTGCTGGAACAAAACTTGTTGTCATAGGTAAGTATCAGAAGAATATGGTATTTACAAGGTCATAGGTGGAAGGCAAGAAATGATCATGTTGCGATAATAGATTATTTAGGAAAAAGATGATTGTGATGGGGATTTGATGCAAAAATCATAGGAGAGATTTTAAAGCAATGTTGTGGGGGCTGGCATTCATTGCAGCAATTAGGTGTTTCTTGGGATGTCTGCACCCTGAATCGGACTGCCTGGTCCAAATCCTGGTTATTCTGCTAATGTACACCTCAACAGACAGCAAATGATGGGCTCAAGTACCTGGGTTCCTGCCACCCATGTGGGAGAACCGGATTAAGTTCCTGGTGCTTGGCCTAACCAGCCATGGTTGAACCAATAGATGAAGATCTTTCTTGTCTCTCTGCCTTTCAAATAAAATGAAAATAAAGTTGTAAGTAAATAATGCTAACACAAAAAGAGAACATAGACAATAGTGTATAAATATTGTAATAGGAGTTAGTTTTATGTACCTATGGTCTTCTGTAAAATACTCATTTATAAAGTACATAGTGATTTCATTAAAGTGTTTGGCTCTGGGACAAAATTTATTATGGCAGGTAAGTTTGAGATAGACTCAATAGAGTAGACATATTGTTGTTTTTGATGGAAAGAGTTTACGTTTCACAATCAGACAGACATGGAGTTCTGGTTCCACCACTTAAGCTTAGTGAGCTTGGGAGATTGTTCTTTGACCTCAGCACCCTAATCTGCACAATGGGACAGTAGCATGAACTCAGTGGCTTGTATGAGATTTGAATGAGACCGTGTAAATAAAGCAATTGGCACATTGTCCAACATAGGTGCCAGTAAATGTTCTAACTCAAATGGAAGGGGAGAGTTGTATTCTCTCCATGGAGAGTAGTCTGCAGTGGGTAATACAGAGCAGGAGACCCTTAGAGGGCTCAGTTCTGCCTCTAAGTGCTTCGATGGAAGACTGTATCAGCCACTCATGCAAAAAACCGAATTTGGAGGTATTTATTTCTTGTTAGCAGACTTTTTCATTACTTGACAGAAATTTAATCATCTTGCTGTGTACTTTAAATCTTAATATTCTACCTTAATTGCTATCATTTATAACATCAACATTTTATTGGTCCTAAAATTTATAGTTGGTAAGTTTAATTTATGGCCAATAAAGTGTACTTCTGCTCATATGCATCTGAAAAAATTTTAAACGCATAGAGGAAATGATGAAGAGATAAAATCAATTAAATAAAGTTGAAACTCATTAGAAACCTGAAACACATATTGACATATGAAATAGTTGTAACTATTTAATTGATAAAAGAAAAAAAATAAGAAATAGATAATGCCTAAATACTCATATGTACATTTTCAGTATCATACTTCCAACTGAATATATCGTTGATATTTTTACATTCATATGGAATATGCATACTGCATCTTAAAATACAAACAACTTAGGCAATTTACGTGAAATGTATTATTTGATTATGCAAACAGATGTGCAGAAATGATTCAGACAGCTTCATTTATTTTTAAATAAATAAAATATCTGGTAGCCATTGTAGTCATGATTCAAATAAAATGAAATGGTTGTCCTCTATGCATGATGAAAAACAATTAACCATAAAAACACTCTCAGTGTGTACATTTAAAAAGTAATATTTTAAAATTCCATGTAAGATAATGATTCAGAGTATAGGTATTAATTATATATAATCAAGTATACTAGTTAATGTTCAGTTAACTATTACACTGAGAAAGTTATAGATTTCAAGTTTCATTTTATCCTTAAAAGAATAAAACTTAAAGAATCTGGCTAAGACAAAGGAACAAGAGGCAGTGAATAGTGTGGTATCATATGGAAATTTTAAGTTCATCACTTGATTTTCAGTTGATTATAATAAACCAGAGATATTTCCATGAAAAAACAGATTCCAAAAATAAAAATGATTCATTAATATATTTACTAAAATTATATAAATATAATGTACAACTGAAAAAAATCTGAGTCAAAATATGGAGTTGCTGACAGATATAGAGATCCTCACTAGTAGGGTACATTCATATTAAAGCAAATACGAAAACACACTCCCTGTTCATTCTCTTTATTAAAAAATCATTTATTTATTTTTATCTTATTTGAAATGTGGAGATACAGAGAAAGAGGGGGAACAGAGAAAGGTTTTTCCATTCACTGATTCACTACTTAAATGCCTACAACAGCCAAGGCTGGGCGAAGCCTAACCCAGGAGTCTGGAACTCAATCTGGGTCTTCTACATGGGCGGCAGAGACCCAAGTACTTGAGTCATCACGTGTTGCCTCCCAGGGTGCACGTTAGCAGCAAGCTGGAATGGAAGCAGGGGAGCCCGGAATCCAACCAGGCACTCCAATAGGGAATGTGGGTGTCCCAAGTGGTGACTTAACTGCTGCGCTAAATGCCCCCCACACCCTGCAGTGGGGTATCCTTCGTTATGCTTAAACTTCAAATGAAATTTCCAAGTAAAATGTAATTTTGGTGAACATTTCTAAAAATAAAAGTTTGCTAAGTGCTTTACTTGATAACATTAACACAAGTACATTTCTAAAAATAATCAGATTTTTAAATAGAAGTTTTGGAAAGGTTTTGCTTCTAAATTCCGAGATAAATAAATTGGAGGCGTGGGGTTAAATACTGCCGTTCTCAAAAACCTGGAGTGGTTCAGATGTGAAAGTGTGATGCTATATAGAGCTGGAAATAAACAAGCAGAATTCAATGAACTTCAGAACTGAGCATGGGAGCCACATTTGAAGATAAGATCAACTTGATAGATTGTAAGTACTTGTGGATGTACAGTCCCACTTAAGTGACTGCATATTGTTAAAAATAAAAATGAAGCATTTCCTCTTGTCGTTGATTCATTTTGGAAATAAGATAAAAAGGATGCCTTCCAGAATCAGTTAGAGTGAAAGTACCCAGAAACGGAGAGTAGGAGGATGTGAGTTAGGTGGCCAGGGAGAGCATTATCAAAGAATGGGAAGGGAAGCACCTTAGAAGGGAACACGGGTTCTCATGGGAAGGGAGATCATTAAAGTTACCTGGTTTCCTCCCTGCCCCACCTAACCCTGTCCATCTTCCATGGATGAAGCACCGTGGCAGCACCAAATCAGCAGCAACTTGTCTTCCTATTGCTATGACTAGGTAGTTCCAAACCATGCAACGTTTGTATTTCTCTAACAATTCCTTCTGATGTTTTATTTCCCACCATCCTTCCACCAGATAAAAAGCTGGATGGAGACTTTTCTCCCAAGCCCACTATTTTTCTCCCTTCCATTGCTGAAACAAAACTGCATAAGGCTGGGACATATCTTTGTCTGCTTGAGAAATTCTTCCCTGATGTCATCAAGGTGTACTGGAAAGAGAAGAATGGTGATACGATTCTGGAATCCCAGGAAGGAAACACCATGAAGATTAACGGCACATATATGAAATTTAGCTGGCTAACTGTGCCTCAGAAGTCATTCGATAAAGAACACAGATGCATTGTCGAACACGAAAATACAAGAGAAAGTAAACAAGAGATTCTTTTTCCTGCAATAAACAAAGGTACGTAGATACAAATGTAACTTCCCAGAAAACTCTTTTGAGAGGGAATGCCCCTTCTTTTTTGTTAAGTATTAATAATAAATAGATACAAACTTTTCTTAAATCTCGTTACATTTAATGTTAATATAAATGGCCTGCTATTTTCCCATAGGATTAAAACGGAATAGGCTTTGGATTAAAAAAAAAGCAAAAATTTTACTTAACCTTTCTTTGCCTCCATTTCATCATCCAAAATATTAAGATCACACAATGGTTTTAGAATGTTATATGGATAAAATGAAGCAATTATGTGAAAGCATCTAGGAATTTAGCACACCATAAATGCTAAAAAAAGTTTCCACTTTTGATGATTTGACTTGATTGGGAAAGAAGAACAATTATGCATTGTCTGCATTTTCCAGGAACATTCTAACAAGCAAAGCAAACTATTTCAATTTTGCTATTTGAGGGATCTTCAAAAAGTTCACAGAAAATATATATTATGAAAAAATTATGGATTTCAATTTTTTGCACCAACTAAATTTATCTTTTAATTCCATTCCCATGAACTTTTTGAAGATCCGTTGTACACAAAGTTTAACCTGCAAACAATGAGTTAGTTTTTAGTGACAAAATGGCATTCTGATCAAAATGTCCATCAGACAGTGGTTCAATGAAAAACAGAATAACCTTGGCTGCTGGAGTTTTTTGGCAGTCTTGGGTTTCTCGGATTCCAATTTCATACACCACTGTTAGGTAAAATTTCATCATTAAAGATTGCCTGAATGTAATATGTACAATTATGTATATTCTCCATAACAACTGTTTGTAGCCATTGGGATACTGTTCAACAAGCATTTATTGTACGGCTGGCATCTGCCAGGCCTGAGTGGAAATGTGAACAAGAAACTAGGATGAGTATGACTCAAAGCTGATGAGATACAGGGGAAAAACAGACATTGTTTCTAATCACTAAGGATTGTGCATTAAATTCTAAAACAAATGCCTTTCTTGGGTTTCTCATAGCAACAAAATTAGGGAGAGATTTCCATTAATGTTTTTCTACAGAAAATTTTTAATGCTGCTTGTTCAATTTTTTGGGGATAAAAGTTTAAAAATATAATATGAAAGTAGAGAACAATGAAGTGATTCTTAAGAAAGATAAAACTAATTTATTCAAAGTTTCTGACCAACCTTGATTGAGAGAATGCGGTACACACATGTGGATTTTATCATGAGTAATTGTACTTAATTAATACATGGTAATAGTGATTTGCATCTACATTTAATGCATAAAGTCTTTGAGAGAAAAAAAGGACTTTTAAGATCCGTTAAATTCAGTTCTTAAAGGTTCTTAAATGTGCAAACATGATCATATTAACATTTTCATTCTTGGGATGTACTCAAAGGTTTATATCTCAAATCCATTTTTTAAGAGCATGCAGACATAGGAATATCACCAGTGTGTAAAACTGCATACCAGACTCATATCCACATGGACAAGAACACATCTAGCAGAAAAAGATAAAAATAATACTACTGTGACTCTGTTTTCTTCCATCCATTTTAAACAACTTTATCTTTGTACATATGTTTATTTTTCATAGCATCTTAGATAAACACAATTCTCATATCAAGTTTTTAAAGCGATTTGACATTCTTTCTGTCCCCTGTAACAGAGCTCCTGTAACAATGATAATAGAAAGTCCCTTAGTTAAGAATAATTAAGATATTGGAACAGAGTTTCTTAATTCCCACAATGGTGGAATATTATGTTGTCTCTTTGTAAAGTATTTTATATATATTTCTGTGGATAATTTTTATAAATCACTTTCCACATGCCCTGTTTTAATCTCCCACAACTATCCTGTGAATACTGGCTCTGTCATTTACTGGTATGATCTTGGTAAGTTACCTACACACTTTAAACTTTATTCTTCATTCATAATGAGGGGCCATCCATAATGCAACTTGAATAAATGTTATTAGCAAATTAAACAAGATAATGCATATGAAGTTTTAACATAGAGACTGGCACAAAAATGACCTCTCTGCAGGTATTACCTCTTATTAATATTTTTATCATGTCCACAAACACCACACCTCAAAGAAATTATGTACATGAATTGTGGGTTTTGACTACTTTCCTCTACTGAGATGAGAAATTTCTCTAAGACCGAGTCCTCCCAACATGTAAAATTTTGTGTGGATTGTAGGATTGAACACAGTTACTTTGGGCACAAAATTTCAGGTCAGCAGTGTGTGCTATCTTTTTAAGTTTACCTTTCCATTGAACAAATGTTTATGAAACACTTATTTCATGGCAGGTACTGTGTTGGGAGCAGTGGAAAAGAAAAGAAAACCAAGTAGTCTTGGGTCTGAAAATCGTAAGTACACCTGTCTTTAAATCATGTTATGGCACATTTTTCCTTCGATTATCTTAACTTTTGAACTTCCTTGGCTTAATACAGTAAATCTTCTTTTGATAAGAGAAAAAAAAATCCTTCATTCATTTTGACATCTTCATCTACAGAAATATACCTGAATTGTATTGACTCAATTACAGAAAATCACACTATTTCTGAAATGTCAGGCGCATATTTGTTTTTTAAAGATTTTATTTATTTTTATTTGAGAGTTAGAGTTACAGACAGTGAGAGGGAGAGACAGAGAGGTCTTCCATCTGCTGGTTCACTCCCCAGATGGCCGCAAAGGCTGGAGCTGTGCTGATCCGAAGCCAGGAGCTTCTGGGTCTCCCGCTTGGGTGCAGGGGCCCAAGGACTTGGGCTATCTTCTACTGCTTTCCCAGGCCATAGCAGAGAGCTGCATCGGAAGAGGAGCAGCTGGGACTAGAACCGGCGCCCATATGGGATGCCAGCGCCTCAGGCAGAGGATTAACCTACTGCGCCACAGTGCCAGCCCCAAGGCTCAGTTTTAATAATTATCTCCCTTTTCTGTTGACAGGCGTTATATGTATCAATATATATAAATTTATATACATAAACACAAATAATGGGTACAGATGATTAACTAGTATTTGTATTCATTGTTCTATGTATCAGAACTATTCTGAGAATGCCTGTTTGAAAGACGAAAATGGGGGGCCAGTTATGTGGCACAGTGGGTTAACGCCCTGGTCTGAAGACCCAGCATCCCATATGGGTACCGGTTCTAGTCCTAGCTGCTCCTCTTCTGATCCAGCTCTCTGCTGTGGCCTCGGAAGGCAGTGGAGGATGGCCCAAGTCCTTGGGCCCCTGTACCCATTTGGGAGACCCGGAAGAAGCGCCTGGCTCCTGGCTTCGGATCGGCGCAGCTCTGGCCGTTGCGGCCATCTGTGGAGTGAACCATCAGATGGAAGACCTTTCTCTGTGTCTCTACCTTTCTCTGTAACTCTCTTTCAAATAAAATAAATCTTAAAAAAGAAAAAAAAAAAGAAGGCCGGAGCTGTGGCTCACTAGGCTAATCCTCTGCCTGCGGCGCCGGTACTCTGGGTTCTAGTCCTGGTTGGGGCGCTGGATTCTGTCCCAGTTGCTCCTTTTCCTGTCCAGCTCTCTGCTGTGGCCCAGAAAGGCAGTGCAGGATGGCCCAAGTGCTTGGGCCCTGCACCCACATGGGAGACCGGGAGGAAGCACCTGGCTCCTGGCTTCGGATTGGCGCAGCGCGCCAGCCATAGGGACCATTTCGGGGGTGAACCAATGGAAAGAAGACCTTTCTCTCTGTCTCTCTAACTCTGCCTGTTAAAAAAAAAAAAATCAGTACAACTAATTGTATAGACTTAAAAAAAGAAAGATGAAAGTGGAAGTTTTGTTGATGTTTGCTTCATGCCATGCTATACCATTATTTTTTTTCCTTCTGGTCATCTTGATTCTTGGTCTTCCATTGGAGTATGGCAGAATAATAATAATGGTTGGATTGTGCACAATAGACTGAGCGATCTTTTAAATTAACCCGCCATTTCCTTTGGGTCAATGAAACATGTTTTTTGTGGCAGGCACTGTGTTGGGAACTACAGATATGGAAGGCAAACCAGACCATCTTGGATATGCAAAGGGTAAGTTTTTATGCATGTCTGCCTTTATGTCATGCCATGGCATATTTCCCCCCAATCTTCCTAACTTTTGAACTTCCCTGGCTTGAGGCAGAAAAGCCTGATAAGAGAAAAACACAGATCCTTCAGTAACTTGTTTGGGTATGAGATGACTAAATCAAAGGATGCAGTGACATGTTCTGGACTATCTGTTGTTTCTAATGACTGGAGAAAGCAAGATATCAACTTACTTCTATCAGCTTTTGCTTGTAAATTTTTTATCTTTGGTTCTTGCTAGTTGCTAATATCATGAACTGGCAATTAGTGACTTTTCTATAGAAGGCTTTGGCTTGTGTTCTGCAAGAATTTTCTTAATTCTAATACTTCTATGAAGGCATACAATGATCCACCCTCTCGCCACCCTCCCCTCCCACTCCATTTTACAGATGAAGACATGAGTTAAATTAAGTTTCTTACTCATGTCACAGAGCTAGATAAGATATTTCAATTCAGACCATCAATTGAGGAGTTAGTATACTTTCTCTGGTTCATCCTTTGAGATAAGAGTCACAGAACAAGAAATTCTAAAGCCAAGGCCTCAAGATGTGATAGACACATGGTGGGGAGTGGATAAGGGCCTGGGCTTCAGACTACTACGGATCAGACTGGCCTCAGCTCTCTTAATGCTTAGTTGCATGAATATGGGTCAGGAACTTCCATTTTGTAATCATCTGCAACCGAAAATGATGACATCATATTCAGTTAACAAAAAGGGCTCAGAACTAAAATATCTAGCATGGGGTATATCAGTAAGCAGACATAGCATAAGTGCTAATTTTTAGCCTTTTCTTCCTAAGTGTGCAAAAAGAACAGGCCTCAAGTCATTGACTGCAGCCCTGTTGATCTTTCCTTTATTTCCAGTATCAGAGGAATTCAGGAGCTCAGCTGTGGCACCAGGCAAGGAGGGTGTAATCTTTGACTTGACCAA